CTAAGAGGGGTAGGGGGCATCCTGACGACTCGAAATCATCTAGCAATGTGGGGTCGGAAATGCTTTCCTGAAGCGGTGACGTACACAGAAGCACCATAAAGAAAAGAGACCGTAAATGAAAAATCGCTATAATAATAATAATACATTGAAAAAATTGTATGGTACATGGGCCAAAATAAGTGTTCGAAGTTTCTACCACCGGCTACAATGTACACCTCACATCTCCGGCGCATGGACATTCTGCAATACTCCAGGCATATCTCGCAGGCAGCTACTGCGATTCTTGCAACCAGCATTATCAACAGGGGTGTCATAAACCAGTGTTTTCATATGACTCCAGAAATCAAGACATGATAGGTCGGGTGACCGAGGAGGCCATATAATTTTTTCAATGTATTATTATAGCGATTTTTCACTTACGATCTCTTTTCTTTATGGTGCTTCTGTGTACGTCACCGTTTCAGGAAAGCATTTCCGACCCCACATTGCTAGATGATTTCGAGTCGTCAGGGTGCCCCCTACCCCTCTTAGAAGTTCTGAAACGCTTAACTGAGACACCCTGTATATATTAGAAACATTTTTTCTATGCTAATGTTGATGAAAATAATTAATAAGTAAAATTTTTACGTATAAATTCAACCTATCACTTAAAGAAAAACACTTATACTGCATATATTATAATAAAAAAGCAATTTTTATTAATTTTTTCAAGTCAACTCATCGCCTGTCGTTTTAGTGCAGCCTATTATATTTCCCTAGTTAACAATAAGATAACTGAAGTTCTTAATATTTTGATAACATCCCTTTGAATTATTTAACAAAAAAGAAAACAAATAAATGATAGTAATAAATTAGTTTAAAAATATATTCAAAATGTCTGATTGAAATGAGATAAAAGTGAGAAAAAGTAAACAAAAATTAAATTACTTTAAAATTTTTCAATAAAAAATCTCTTTTTATCATGGCTAGACGAAATTCAGGGAAGTAACTGGGGCACAAAAGTTTCACATGAACATTTTGACCTTAAAAAATGTGACGTTGGTATTACAGTATTTTATTGCCATTCTTTAAAAGCGTATTTTTTTTTTTTTTTTTAAGACAAACAATTTTAATTGCAATTATTATTTGCTAAGTTAGAAACAAATAATTCTCAGATATCAAATTTTAAATTTAAAAAAAATAAAAAGAATTTTAATGCTTACTAAATACTACTAATTTTATACATAGTTTAAGACCCTTTAGAAATCCTTTAACACTCCTAAAATATCTACGTACCTGCCAACTTTTACGCATTTGGCGTAAAATTGTATTTTCATATTTAAAGTGGTAGTAAATATATACTACTTTTTCTTTTATGAACTTAATTTTTAAATGACTTTGATCACCACTATTCTTAAAAAAATTAAGCATATATATTAATATGTGTACATTCATGGTTGTTAAGATTTTTCTAATACAACGTATTTCTTTGCTTAAAATAGAAATTTTAATTCCGTTTTACTACCACTGGGGAAAATCATAATGGAGGGAATTAAAAGTTGGCAGGTATGTGTCTACAACCTTTGCTAGCGGAGATGCACCCCTCAAAAAGTCGTATCCACCCACCTAGGTTACTTGTGGTAGAAACTAAGAAGATTTTTTTTTGTGTTTACTTACATTGTTGTTTTAAAAAGCACTGTTACTTAGTTTCAAATTAAAATATATGTATTTGTATCATTACTATGTTATGGAGTAACACTATTTTAAACATGCAAAATAAATATTTACAATGAAACACTTTTGCAATCACTTTTTTACTTTATTAAAATTGAGCTTTTAAGGGCGCTATCCATACATGCTTACATAATAATAAATAATTCTTCATTTTAACAGATTTTCTTTAACATTTAAAGTACTTGAAAGAAAATTTTATGCTTTATAATTTTACTTTTTATTTAATAAATGTGATTTTAATTACCACTTAAAAAAAATTTTAAAAATTTATGAAACATAATAATGATGTAGTGAAGTCTAAGTTCTAGAAAAAATAAAGTAAACTTAATTATTTTTGAGCTTACTTATAATTTTATAAGGAGTGGGATTTATGCACTAGGCATAAACTGTTAACTCCATAGATTTTTACAAATAGGACTCTGAATTGACAATCAATGACCTATATTTTTACTGAGTTTGCTAATAAGCATCTAGACAGGTGTTTCATGCATCAGATTTGAGTTTCACTCCTCACTGGAGTGAAAATAGTCCTCGTAAATTGTTATATAAAATTTAAAGTTTTTTTTTTCATGCATGAGGAGGGAAAAAATGACTTGACTTGCTGTAAAAATATCCTTGAGTATAGCAAGGGTATCAATGACACCTTTTTCATATATGCTGATTTCCGGAAATTAATCGTTATTATTTGGGTACAAACATTTGGATGATTTTCCTGTGCGTCTTGTGAAGAACTCCCTTTTCATGTCACCAATGAAAAAGTCAATGACATGAATTATTAATAAAATGTAAAGTTGGGAAAAAAAAGTAAAAAATGCATACAAAATAAATTCAATGTATTTTATTAATATGTTTTGTTATTTAAAAACCTTGTTTTAATTCATTTATAGTGTAAAAAAATTGGAAATTTCGAAAATTTTTTTTTGATTAAATATTCAATCAATTAAGTTAGAAAGTCCACTTTGCATAGTTAATTTGTTAGTTAGAATGTAATGCATTATAAAATGGTGGCTATTTACTCACATAATTCCTGTTTTGAACTTTACTTCTCTGTTTTAAATTTCACTCCTCAAAAATTAATAAAGNTATATATATATATATATATTTAACTCTGTGGTATTTATAGTTTTTCATGAATATTCTCTATAAACCATATTTACAAATATGGTAATTTATTCACACAAAGCGGGTAAAGATAAATAATTGTAATATCCTTATGAAAATCTGATAAATGAAAATGTCAGAAAATTTAATTTTCTAAGTTGTGATGATTTGCTCAAATGTTTTCAATAACCATGTTAATCTCATAGATAGGCAGTTTTGAACTTATTTCTCATTAAAATGTTTTTAAAAATAATTGCAACAGTTCTTGGCTTCTTTTGAAAATTCAACGTTGATATTTCTCAATATTTTGGACAACACTTTCTAAGAACTTAGCTTCTATAATCAGTAGTTTATAAACCCTGCGTTTAAGAGAAATCCAATTTATTAAATATTTTTCTAGCTGTTATCCAAGTTTTTCGCTAAAGAATGGGGAAATTTTAATAACATTAACTAAGTGACGCTTGAAAATCGGTATTTTTTTTTTTTCACAATCTTAAAGCTATATTTGAAATTTCAAACAATCATAAACAAACAAACAAAAAACATTTCTATTGTTGATATATACATTAAGTTTCATTTACAAATTGCGTGATTTTCTTGTAATATATTTAACATGAGTTTCTTTTTTCTTTAAATCATATTCTCCCATTCAAACACAAATTTTTTTCTAGCTATTCACGAGTCTGAAGATATTCTTTTTCGTTTCTTTTTAAACAAAAACTATTGCTTCTCGTTTTTTTTTTTTTTTTTTTTTTTTTTTTTTTTTTTTTTTTTTTTTTTTTTTTTTTNACCTTCAATACTTTTTCAAAACTAAAAAACATATATAACTATTTAAAAAAAAAAATACAAAAAATTTCTGAAATTGAAAAATATTTTAAATTTTTCAGAATCTTGAATATTTTTTGGATATTTATTAGTACTTATAAAATGCAGTTTGACCTCCAAATAAGGTATGCATCAGTCGTTGACTTTGTTATACTAAAAGAACTAAAATTAGCAAATTAAAATCTATTCATGTCTAAGCCCTTTGAATTGGATGTACTTTTTTTTCTTTTCTTTTGTCTTCGACATTCAAATAAATTGAGCCCCAAATAATTGAAATAACGTATCTAAATTTTTTTCTGTAAACATTTAAAGCAGTTACAAATTCAAATGAGAGTAATTTGTCTCCTGTAGTATTTTTCAAAAATGGACTGAACTGGTTTCATAATCATGCGCCTCATCAGGGTTCATACACCTCAGGGTAAACTTAGAAAACGCAGGGCTTAAAAACTTACTTGAAAACTCAGGGAAACGGAAGATTTTTACTGAAACCTAGAAACATTTGAATTAAGGCTTTTTTTCTATTTTTTAAAGAATTTTTTTTAAAAAAATAATTCTTTTATAAACTCTTTTCAAAAGTTTGTTAATTTCCCAACACAAATGTATCATTTCTCATGATAACACAATTTTATATCAGAAAAAAGCTTTTGTTGAAACTTGATAAAAAAAAAAATTTACTGTCTTAGAATAAATTTTTCGCGGATTTTTTTTTTTTTTTTTTTTTTTTTTTTTTTTTTTTTTTTTTTTAAGGGTTTGGTATTTTTTGAGCTAAAGGTAAGAGTTTAAATTTTTCAAAGCTTGTAGTCGTTTAATGATAAGCAATCTTTTGTTTATAAATTTTTTCTAAATGTTGCGAATTATTTAAACTTCATTAGATTGATTTGTAGATCTAATATGTATGGGTGCATAATAATATTGTATAAAGCAGCCATATAGCACGTAGGTATATGGGTTTTATTAATATTAATGCACGTGACTTTGTCCAGCATGAACATGATTTTTATGTTTTCTTAATTTGTGCTGCATGTATTAGTTTTTTGATTTGTTGCTCCTGATAATCAGGTAGAAGGAATTTTTCCTTAAAAATAGAGAATAAACCCTAACCGTTGCCCACAATACCTTATGAAAGGCCAAGCTGAAAAACACTTTTTTTAACAATTAGCATATTCTCCAATACTTTTTCTTATTTTTTATTCACGAATAATGACACTGTTTCTGGAAATTGCCATATGTATTTGAAGTCTACTTAAACACAAATTACGTTTATGGTGAAAGCTTGGTTCTAGGAAATCCTACAGCTATTGTATATTCTTTTATTGTTTGAAAAATTTGATGTTTCTAGTGAAACTCCACGCCTTTCACACAGATTTTTATCCTAATACCTTACACTTCAAAACTCCCGAAGACATTCGATCCACTGGACGCAATTCAAACGATTGAAATATGCCTTTTATCGCATTATTCAGTGAAAATGGTATGCAAATTTTATTTATTAATTCTGTTTTTCAGTGTGCACTGTGTCTAGTTGTACAAATGTGCAAACTAAAAATCATTAGCTTAAAATTTTTTCAGTTTTTATTTATTTACTTTATTTTTACAGAAAACTGTGTTCAACAGCTTACAAAAAGTGAGCGTAAATTTTCAATAATTGCAATAATTTTAAATTATGTGTGTCAAACTGTACTTGTAATTTTTATCGAACATTAACTTTAAAAAAAAAAATTTTTTTTTTTTTACTTTACAAAAAAAGGAAATTCTATAGCACTAAAAATAAGCGCACATCAATTTGACCTCCTCGATTGTTATCGCCGCAATATTGAAAATTATTTTTTGACACTTTCTATTCATTTTGTTTCAATTTCGATGTGTAAGTTTTTTTTCTTTATCATTTCTTAGGTATTTACATAAATAATTCAACTTAGCAAAATACTTCCAATTTTATTCTAACATTTATATCAGATTGTTCAGTAGGGACTAATCGCCTTGTTATTTCTCGTCAATATCATCAATTACCCACAAGTAGATTCATATTTACATTCTTAATAGATCGAAAATATTATGCAGTCTAGCATAGTTTTGACGAACTTTGAAATCACGAATTTTTCGATATTACTAAAATATCTGGAATCCTTTTTCATATGCTATTCTAATAGATGAATAAAAGATTGTTTTGGCCAATTCGTTACTAGCCAATCCTCGCTTTCCTGCAAATTTTTGAGGAAAAGTTTGGTATACATACGAGAAATTAATTTTTTTACTGTAGCTCAATGCAAATCGTAAATGTATAGACCAAAAAAAATGCTGTATATTTAAAATTTGAATTCTAAAGAATTATTTTACAGATTTTATTCAATTTTTATGTTATGCTGTATAAAATTATATTCTTTAAAATGGTGTGAAAATTTTTATACCTTACAATTCAAAAAAATTTTTTAGACTATCATTTAAAAAATAATAAGAAATATTTAAAAAATTGTTTCTCATTGGAATTGTCTTTGAATAAACGAATTTTACAATAGTATGCAAAAAAAATTTCAATTCACATAAAAAATTCTAGAAATATCGCGAAATACGCACAAAATAAAATTAATATTAAGGGTCCAAAATTTCGACAGCTCTACTGACCTAACTATTAGGACCATATTTTATAGATTGCGGCTATCCCCAAATTTTAAGGGTCAGGAATCCAAATCAGTCAACAACAAAAAATATGTTCATGCAGAAACGGTATGTTTTTGTGTCTGATTTCGTAGTTAAAATTATCAGCTGCACTAATTAGCATATTTCAGGTTCATTAAGTTAGAGTGCTAATAAGTGAGGAAAGATTCATTAGATCAAAAGTTATTTAGAGTCACTTTTTTCCCACTGTATGTATAAATATGTATGTGATTCCTTTTGAAGGATTTTCTGGTTTTTTATTTTTTCTGTATAGGTATTTCACGATTCATTTTTGTTAAAAATGTCAACGCAGTTATTATTTTGCAAAAATGTTATAAATACGTATTACAATTTTCAACAAACCGAAATTTCAATTTAACGTAATATCAAAGTTTGAATGTTTTTTGTTCAAATATTTTAAATTATTATATTAACTAATATTAACAGTGTTAAACGCAGAAATCGGTATTTGTGTCCCTGATATGTATATATTTTATTAATCTATAACAAAAAAAATATATCAAAATCTGTTGAATCACTAATGAAGACGGTAGGATTAAAAGCGTTCAAAATTGTTAATAAATGTGAGATTATATTTTAATGTTTCTAATAATAACCTTTTACCTCTTCACAGTTCTCTCCGGAAATCAAACTGGTTTTGATACTTATAATCTTGCTTTCCTCAATACCAATTCTATCGCATATAAAATAGACATTTTCAGTCGTCAGATTTTTAAAAGAGTTTTTGTTCGTTTTTCACCCTCATTGAAATATTACTTTTTGACCCCTAAGAAGTTTTTATTTTTATTTTACATTTGACAAAAAACTAAAAATATGTTGTAAAGAAAACTATTGTGAAATGTCTTGTAGATCGCAACTAAACATAGAAACTAAGAATACGCCTAACTGAAATTATTTATAACTTAGTGTAACTGAGAGTGTTTTCGCGAAATAGATTTAAATATAGTTTCCTTGTTTGTATTTTTTACGCTACCTGCGTAAAAAATACAAGCCTAATGGAAAAACTATGACCTTATTTTATAAACTTAAAAACCTTATTTTATAATTAAAACTGTCTTTTTTTAAGGAAATTTAAGAATTTTTATTAATTTACCGGGTTTCCAAAAATTTTTTTTTCGATGAAAATTATTTAGTAAAATTTACATCTTATTAACCAGAATTTAGAGTGGAGGATTTAATCGAAAGGTTGATTTAAAATTAAACCATTTGATCGAAATTCTTTCATAATTTTAAAATTCAACTTTCATAAAGAAATCTTTATGTATTTTTAAACTGAAATTATAATATTTTCAGGAAAACATGCAAAGCTGCTTATTAGTTCATTGCTTTTCGTTGTAAGCATCACTTTGATACGAGCAGGATCAGATTGTTTATCATTTGAAGAGGTTTATCCGTGTTTTTGCACAAACTACGAAGACAACTCAACAGTAGTCACGTGTCCAAACATCGATGATTCTTTAGAATTGTCAAAAGTAACACTTTACTATAATTTTTTTTTAAATAGTTTTGATTATCATTATTTTACAGGATGAGTTTTAAGTCTCGCATAGCAAGCATTTATAACGACCAGTAAAAGTAACAGTTTGAAATTGAGGTAAAATATAACTAAAAATAATTGAAGGGACTGAAGTAGACAAGTGGTTAGAGAATCAGACTTTGGTCCGGAGTTCGGTCTTCGACTCCACTAAAACCCACCAAATGCATGCGATAAAAGCTCTTAAAATGTGTGAAATCAAAAGTCCTGTGGTCGGTGGCTGAGCAGCGCCATGGTTACAAGGATCTGGAGAAAATTTCCTTCCCCTTTAGATATATGGCTAAATTGTGGAAGGATGGAGTGGTGCTGCCATCTATTTGTGGAATTTTAGGCTAAGACGTGCTTTTACCCTGGCGGTGCTCCTTTGTCAAACGAATAGCGCACCTTATCGACTTAATTCGTAAAAGACCAATGGCTGATGAGTTTGGCTTATTCAAGTGACATTAGAAACAGCATAATTGACTTATTGTCTTTCATTTTTAGCAGACAAACTTTGGGTGGTACAATAAATATTCGAAACGTCTTCTTTCGCGAATACCAAAACAATTCTTTTTTGCAGGCTTCTGGGGATTATTAGTTTCGGAGACATGGCGAAATACGCTAATTTATTTAACATTAAGGGGTCTAAACTTTCGATTGACCACCTGATCAAATTATTGGAATCCTATTTTCAAAATTGTTGCTACCTCCCATATTTTGAGAGTTGGGATTTTAAATCCGTTGAAGAAAAAAAAGGTATGCATATATTCAGAGAAATTGCATTTTTATGCCTGATTTCGCTACCTAATATTGTCTGCATAAATTAGAATAATTAAGGTCAAATCATCATCTCGTACAAGAACATTAAGTTCACGAGATCAAACGTTATTAAAGATGTTGAAAAAAATTATTTCTTATTTGCGCACATTATTTAACTGGCAATAATAGTGAGAAATTATTATTTTTTAAAAAAATAAATAAGATTTCCGTATCGTGATCTGCCTCAGAATAATCGCCAAGTCTTGGCAATTTCTGGGCAGCGACCCGAAAAAAAATATCACAGAAACTAGACCAACCAGAATTTTATAAACTCGTAACCACCCTTCTGGCAAACTTCTATTATTTTTTTTTAAATATATTATAACGATCGTTGTTAGCGTGACAGATAACGATACAAGAATACCTTCAATACGAAAAATAACTTTCGTTTAAAAGCCGACCAGGTGGCTGAGTTGTTAGCGTGCCTGACTGCGGAGCCGATGGTTGCGGGTTTGAATCCCGCTCAGGGCATGGATGTTTCTTTCTCTCTGTGTTCTATGTCCTTTCTCCTTTGTGTGAATGTGACGCTCCCTATAAACGCGTTTGTGGTTGTGTGACGTGGGTGTCGCTGCTCCGCCACAGGTGCCCACTGGGTAACGAGAAGAGAGTAGCAGTTCTGGCACTAAAAGGCCAATGGGACAATACATCCCAAGAGCCCGCCATGTGAGAAAAAGAAAACTTTCGTTTAAAAAGTCCTCAAAATTCTCATGTTTCGGAAATTTCATCGCATCCCTCCTCAAAAAAACCCTGTTCAAACCTTAGAGGAACGATTACTCTAAGGTACTCCTATTACTTAAGATTTAAACCAGATTTCTTTCAACCTCTTTCAACACTACATAAAAACACGACTATCAAAATAACAGAAAATTTGCTGTTCCTGTCAAAATAATAGATGTAGCCACATAAGAACAAACGTTTCACAAACGAAGTCTCTCAACACTAGATTATCGATACCAATTAAACATTCGAAAAATCAACACTGTCATGTATAGCAGTGGTTCTCAAACCGATTTACTAGAAGGACAAGTAAAAATATTTCAGTTTTATTACGGACCGGTAAAGTTAGTATATAATTTGGACTATTGGTAACCGGTAAAGTAAGTACATAATTTTAACCTTGACAAATTGTGAAACTTAACCAATTTTTTGAACAGTTTATTTCTGGTATTTCAAATTCTCTCTACGATTAAAAATATTTTTAAGTCTAAGCCTATTTTAATATAGATATTTACATTAATTTCACTTCAAATATCAATCCGCAGACCGGTGGTTGAGAAACAGTGATCTATAGGGAGGAAATCGAATAATTTTCGCTGAAATACGGAATATTAAGTTTTGTTATACAAGACTTTAAACTTAGTCAAACTATAAATATAAAATACATGCTAAGAGATGTTTACTTTTCTAATTTGTAGAGTAAAATGAGTTAAAATTCGGACTATTAAATCCAATGATGTTTGAGTGTCAATCTGGGAGAATAAATATTTTAGCCGCTAATAAGAAAAATTGAACTTTTGTCTTAATGTATTCATGAATAAAAAATATTTTTATTTTGCCCCAGTCATCAACTAAAATATTTTTATTTTGCCCCAGTCATCAACTAAAATATTTTTATCTTGCCCCAGTCATCAACTAAAATATTTTTATTTTGCCCCAGTCATCAACTAAAATATTTTTTTTTGCCCCAGTCATCAACTAAAATATTTTTATTTTGCCCTAGTCATCAACTAAAACATTAATATTGTGCTAGTTGTCACACTTCTCTATTTGGAAGATAGTATTATAATGATGAAATTTGGTGTGGTCGGAGTGGTATAATATAATTGACTAATTGAAGATTGTGATGAAATCAGGATCTTGAAAATGACAGTCGATGATAAAAAACTGGATCATAATAAAACTGTTATTTGAGTAGTATTTTTTTAGAGCTCTAGATACAAAAATTGATGTATATTTTTATACAATTGAAGTGACATAATAAATTTTTCTTTTCAAAATAATATCAATAAGGACAGACCAAGGGAGATCCCCATGACCAGCCTATTCAAAAGTCAAATTAAAAATTGCTTGAATTGTTCCCAACAGACAGGAGCATGGGAAAAAACCCATAGTTTGTGATTTATCTGTAAATAAAATAACAAAGCTAACTCCTCGTAATTAATATTAAATTTTGAAATAATTTGAATATAGCTTAATCGCCAATACAAGACCGTAAGAATTAATATAACCCTGCAACTGAAGCATTTTTGTGGTAAGAGAAATAAGGAGTTATGGGTTTTGATGTACCATTTAGTCAAGATAGTGATTTCATTAGTTTTACATTTGTCTTGAATTAAAAAGTTAGCTGTCACATTGCCTATTATGGCATCACAAGTATAAGAACAGAAACGATTTTATTTCTGCTTTACCTCAGTCAAGGAAAACATTTTGCACACAATTAGAAAATTTGTTTATCCAAAGATAACTAAGTCATCTTTTGAAAGGAGTTAATATTTATTATTTTATTTAATAATAATAAAAAAATTTTGAATTGTAAGGTATGTAATTTTTTATATTATTTTTAAGAATGTAATTTTATGAATGTATGTAATTTTATGAATAATTTATTAATGAATGTCAAAATACAAAATTTGAACGAAATAGATCGAATAGTTTCTGAGGAATCTAATTTAAAAATAAAAAAAATTCAATTCAATTTCTCAGGAACTATTCGGCCGATTTCGTTCAAATTTTGTGTTTTGTTACGTAAAATCACATTCCTTAACATGATGTAAGGAATTTAATGTCTCACAATTCAAAATTTTTTCGACTATTATTAAATAAAATGATAAAAAAGTAATATATAACAACCAAAAATTATTTTTTGCAAGGAATTATCTTTGGATAAACGAATTTTATAATAGTGTGCAAAATTTTTGAATTCGCTTAGAAAGTTCGAGATATAGCGAATTACGTAAAAAGCAAAATTAACTGTAAAGGGTCCAAATTTTACTACCCCCTATATTTTGGGAGTCAGAAGTCCAAATCCCTCTAAAAAAAACGGTATGTTTAGAGGTAGTATGTACAAAATGGTAAAGGTATGCTAAGAAAGTTTTTCTGTCCGAATTCGTATCATAAAATAGTAGTAGTAGTTCATTTACGTCACACTAGAGCTGCACAATGGGCTATTGGCGACGGTCTCGGAAACATCCCTGAGGATGATCCGAAGACATGCTATCATAATTTTTGATCCTCTGCAGAGGGGATGGCACCCCCGCTTCGGTAGCCAGACGACCTGCACGCGAAGTCGAGCACTTTACGGTAGAACAGTTTAAAGAGGATCAATACCGCACACCCTCGGTCCCTACGCAGACTGGTCCAAGTGATCACCCACCCGCACACTGACCGCAGCCAGTGATGCTTGACTTCGGCTGGGAACCGTGTCTTAACGATCAGTCCTCTGCGGGACTAACATAAAATAGCGTCTGCTCTAAGTAATTAGTATATTAGAGGACCCCCCCTCGAATCATTAAGATTGAGTCCCAGAACGTGAAGATCAGATTATTAGATCAAAAGTTATTCAGGGTGGACCTTTTTTGCGCACTGTACAATCAACTAATAAACAAAATTACAATNGCAGACTGATCCAAGTGGTCACCCACCCGCACACTGACCGCAGCCAGTGATGCTTGACTTCGGTGATCTGTTGGGAACCATGTCTTAACGATCAGTCCTCTGCGGGACTAACATAAAATAGCGTCTGCTCTAAGTAATTAGTATATTTGAGGACACCCCCTCGAATCATTAAGGAGGAGTCCCAGAACGTGAAGATCAGATTATTAGATCAAAAGTTATTCTGGGTGGACCTTTTTGCGCACTGTACAATCAACTAATAAACCAAATTACAATGTCTTCTATTGCTAATTTTTAAATCCTAATGCTGTGGGTGACAAAAAAAATTAATGAGCAAATTTAAATTTCTAATTATATATATATATATATATATATATATACTTATATTGAATATCCTATACAATGGGTGTATTTTTCAGGTTACTCAAAGTTTAAAAAGTCTTCTAATTGATCGTTTTGTGTTGCTAAATGTTTTTCTGGAAGAAAAAGATGAAGTTATACCATTATTAAAAGACCAGAAGTTCAAAATCACATCTCGTGGAATGTTCCCTAAAAAATGGTTATCAGAACTACGAGTTAGAAACATCGAAATACAAAATGGTAATTTAAATGGTTATTTTTTAGTGGAAGACGCTTTAGAAGGCCAAGCAGATTTCTTAACTAGTGTTATTGTCAAGAGTTCAAACCTAAGGTGAGATTAAACTATAAAAAGTAAAGTTTCAAAATTTATGACATTAAATATACAAGCTATAAAGTGTGTAATGTCTTTCTATATTTCTATAACAGGTACAGATTGCAAAATAAAAAACGTAACACCCAGAATAACTTTTGATCTAATGCTCGAATTTTCAGATCATTAATCTTAATGGTTTAATATATCGTCTGCTCAAATTAAAAAGCTTATTTAATGTGAGACCCTCAATTGTTAGAGCCTTAGAACGTGGAATCCGGTCATTAGATCAAAAGTTATTCAGTGTGTTCCGTTTTATATACTGCGCACTGTACAACAGTCCAGAATAATTATCAGAACACTATTACTTTTGATCCAAAGATCGTATTTTCGCGTACTGTATTATGCCTTTTTAAATGTTACAGGGGATAGAAGAAAAAAAAATCCACACATAATCGTACTTTCTCTGAACTTATACTCTTTTTCTGTTCTCAAAACGTATAGGGAAATTATAATCCTGAAAATATTGTCCCAGTAGTTTAAAAAAATTGTCTGAAGTTAGAGACTTTTAATCGCATTAACTTAGCACGTTTTTCACTATTTCTCTGAACCTATTTATACGAATTAAGAAAAAAATTGCATACAGTTAGAAACTTATTTAGTCAAACAAGGTTCTATGCAAAAAAAAAAAATTATTACTTATTAATTTCATTATAGGATTATTTTTTTTTTGTTGATTCTCAAGCAGACACATTTTTACATTATTGACAAGTAATTTTAAATAAAAATTTTTGAACGTACTCTGCAATTTTTTAAATTAAAAAAATTTCGTATTTTAAAGATTTTATTTCTCGGGAGCTATATGAACAATTCTGTTTAAATTTTGAATTTTTGTCTCTTAAAACTTCGTGTGCTTTACATTTTAAAATTTTTTCCAACATTTTAATTTATAATCTCAAAAGAAATAATTTAACTAAGTTACTTCTGCTTCGAAATATCTTTGCAAAACGTAAGTAATAGATTAAAAATAATTAATATTACTATATATTAATTATTGTGCAAAAAATAATTTATATTAATGTATATCTATAATATTTATTGCGCAAATAATAGGCATATTATTTAAAAATTTCAGAGATAAGGAGAGTTTTACAAAAATGAAATAAAGGGGCTTAAAAATTCCGACTGCTCTTCAGACTTAACTATAAAGGTCTAATTTCCTGTATTTGGGATAGGTGGTCAAAAAACTAAATCCGGTGAAAACAAATTAGATCACTCAGAGAAAGTACATTTTTGTGTCTGATATTGTAACATAAAATATCTAATAAGCAGATTTTAAGTCTATTTTCTTAAACAATTAAAATTGCACTCCAGTACATGAAAATCCGATTATTAAATCAACAAAAGTTATTAAGAGTGATTTTTTTTAAACAAACTAAACATTCCATGATTTTTTTTTTGTAGTTTTCTTCATTGTTAAAACTAAATACTTCCTTCCTGAACCGTTACATCACGTTTCTCATTATGTTTATTTTTTTAGGTTCATTTTTGTTACCGTTGCTCGGTGTTGTGAACTTAAGTTTTACGACTGAAATTTACTACTCATTTGCTTTTTAATGTGCTTACAAATAAGGTTATCCAAACCTACAACCGCGAAATGGGAAAATAACCACCATTTCGTGCAAACAATGTGTTTTCAATCTTTATAAAACATTGAAAACATTAAATATACATTGTACGAGTGAGCAATTTAGACGAAACTTATATATTAACTCCAATGTTACTAAACCCATATTTTTAAGGGTTTTGTAAGTTTATGCATCTAATAGATAGTCAGTTAATTCTAATGCCAGTAATTATATATCTGGTACAAATGTTTAGTAAAATTAACTAATTCAAAAAAATTGTGTAAGCATCCCAAACTAAAAGTTATTGTTTCAAGATTCATAAAATTTGAGTGTATTGTTTTGTTAAATATACATATTTTTTTAAAAAATCTTACGATTTTTAAATATATATATAATCCAATCAAAGTATGAAAATAGAATTAAGCAAAAGTTAAGAACAAAATGTAATTTATAAACAATAAGTCAAAATGAAAAAGCGCTAGAAAACAGCTAAAACCAAAATTGTCTTAATTAAACAATAATAACATGTGCATCTTCAAATTTCGTTTTGGTTCTATTTAAATTCTCACTTCTTTTAATATATATATATATCATAGTGATAATAATTAATCACTATAATATATATATATAAACAAACATGATAGTTTTATTGTAACATTTCTGCAGAATTTTTACTTTTGTGTTACTTTTAAACGGGAAAAAGTTACCTTTGAAGCTCACGCATACCTCATATAATTATAAATTTTTTTTATTTATACATGGAGGAAAATGTACACTTAGATTTTTTTTTCCTCGGATCTAATACAAATTGTGTAGAACTAATTCTGAAAGATTTCCACAAAGCAATATAAATATGTATTTGCTTCTTTCTAGCTAAAGTCCGTGAAAGAGTTATTTGTTTATTTGATAGCGAGGGTTGACAGACCATTAAATAGAAGGAATATAACTCTGTATTTATCACATTGTTTTCTAGTGAAATGTAGAATTTACGGATTTGTGCATTTAAGGAATAAATAGATGTCTTTTGTTCGGGAAATAAGATAAAATATAGTTTATTGACTTCTTGACATTTTAGGAGTAAAAAAAAATCTTTTCTCCATACTTTTTTATTTACTGGTTTTTTAAATGAAATATCTTTTCTCATATATTTATTGATAGATTTGATTTGTTTATTTCTTAAATATGGAATATCAAAGAAAATAGAAAAATATTTTGACAATTTCAATATTAGTGCTCATATATAATAAACTGTCTGGATTTGTTCTGGAAAACAATATATTTTTAAAGGCTTTTTTAAAATTCCCTTCGTCCAAATGAAAAAAATTATAAAAATTTTTTATTTAAATAATTTTTTTTTAAAAAATGAGTTTATTTAAAAAAACTTTTAGTGTGTTTCCGTTTTTCTATTACATGACGAGAACTACTACTTCAAGAAAACAATTAGAATGGTTAACATGTATAACAACAATTAAATGTAAAGATGATCATGTTCCGAATTAACAAATTTATCAACGAGCTTTTTTAGTTATTTTGTACTTACAACCTCATCTAGAAATGAAAATTTTCTCTTATAACACCGATTAAAATTCTTTTTTTTTATAATCTGACAGTCACTAAAATAATCGACGATTAATAACAAAAGATTTGATGTAATTAAAATAATACGATATTATTAGTGTGTTCTGCGATAATATTACGATATGACACGATAACTATACGATACCAAGCCGCTTTTTCTAAATAGTCTCTATCCTTCAATTTCGACAGTGTGTAACAGTACTGCATAGCATTGTTGGTTCCAACCTCCAAAAAGTTCAGCATCCGCTAGCAACGAAACTCCGGGACATTAATTCACGAACCAGCAGCGTTTAACGACACGTTTACTTTTTTTTCTGTGATTTGTAACTTCTTAGTTGTAACTGGTCGCAGTTATGCTTTTATTTATTTTAAAATCTGTTACCTGAACTAAAAAAGAAAAAAAAAATCAAGAATCAAGACTTCTTTTATTTAAGAAAAAGCGAAACAGGAAAGCTTGTCGTTAAACGCTACTGGATTGGCCCTACGAGACCAGACTGAGAGGTTCTTCGCTTTGCGCATGCACTGCAACAATATCTTTTTCTTGATCATGGTCAAACAAAACCCAATGGTGTCTTACACCTTCAATCGCTGTCTTGTCTACCACATTGTTGTTCGATTTTCTGGGAAAAACTAACGGAGAAACCTATTTTCGGACTCACTCTCGTTGTGTAGGATAATTAATAACATATTGATTACTTTTCGAATATTTAAATACAAAATTGAAATTAATCATATTTGTTTTTTTCATTGTGTTTTAGTGGTCGTTTGTGCTCTGGTTGTCTTCCTAAGTCTGGAACAATATCTACATCTACAATAGAACTACGACGAACACCGCTTTTAAAACTAATAGATTTTTCTTACAATAATATCGATCTAGCAGAGAGTGCTTCGTTTCCAGCAACGTTAAGAAGTCTGGATACTTTAATTTTATCAAATAATCAAATTAATAAAATACAAGATTACGCGTTTTCAAATCTTCCTCAATTACAGCGAGTGGATCTTTCCAAAAATGTTTTAACTACAATAAGCAGAAAGATTTTCATAATGGCTGATTCTAAGCTGGAAATCCTGGATTTAAGGTTTGTAAGCATACAATTAACTTAAATAAAACATTGCTTAAATATGTTAAAAATATTACGATTTATTAGGTATACCTTTTAATTTCCAAGTTTTTTTATCATTTTACAAATTTTTATGAGCATTTAGATTTTGCCATGAGAGAAAATTATTTTCTTAAATTGAAATAGGCTAAAATTATGATAAAAATCGAATGATTGATTATTGGACCAGATTTGAATAACTATAATTAATACCAAGACTAGAAGTTCCCACAGTGCATACCATGGCACCCTGGAGTGCGGCGAAAAATCATCTATGACTTCAAGTTTATTATTTTCTTAATGACAATTATTTTCTATCGGAAAGGTATAAGTTTCAAGGTAGAAGATTGAGTTTCAGTAAAATATGAGTGTCCCATCCTAAGTAAAACAAGCTAAAAGTATTTTTATTCCCTTTTCTACTTCAAGGTAAAGACTGGTTTTTAGCAGTTATAGTTATAAAGGACAAAACTGCTCAGTAATAAACATTGAAAAAGAAATGCGTTAAGTCAAAGATAACGACACTTTACTTACCTGTCCACTGGAACTCCATTAATATTAATGTTCAATCAGTTACAAAATACAACCAAAGAGCAGAAAATTAAAAGGCACCACTTCCCCTTTAAAAACGTATGTAAAATTTAAAACGAGCTAGCCTTCGAATAATGATGCTGCTATCTAGTGACAATGATAAGAATTCAATTTTTTCATAGTTCCTTTCAAGAAAAAAATATACAAAACTCGCTTTTCATGCTATTCACGAGTCATTAAAATAGTTTTTACTTTTTTTCATGTAAGAAGGGAGGAAAGAGAGACAACTATATAAAAAAAAGAAAATTTTATTGTATAGAAAATCTATGTCTTTGATTTCTTCAATGAGTTAAAAACTTCATGGAACTATTAAATATAGTAATTGGTTCAGTCATATAGTGATGCTTATAGAAAGTAAATGTTTATCATTTGCTTTCATTACAAAAAATAAAACTTATTTTATTATTTTCAGAAAATGCACACTTTTTAAAATATATATAAGAGTATTCATAATTCAATTGAAATTAAGCAGTTAAGAGTCTTTAATTGCTTTGATAAGATTGGGAAAATGTAAAAACTGTCGTTTTGCTAGGCGAAAAGACCCGGATGTGTAACAATGGCGCATCGCTTTTTTTTTTCTTTTTTTTTTATAGCTATTTTGGCTGGAGTCGTTTATCTTGTATAATATATCTCTGGATACAACCAATAGAAATACGTTTAGATTGGGATAAGAATACTAATCGTCCAATAGAAAAAAGTGCAAACGGAAATTGATTAAATGATAGTGGATCACTGATCTAGTTCATCTTCTGACTTGGAAATCTATATTCCGTGATTTGAAATTTTATTTAATAAGAAGCAAGCTCATCCACTGCACAAAAACTCACAATACTTTCGTGTGGGGATTGTAATATTTCTTTATTTTCTCTTATATTGCTATAATTTATATTACATATGATTAAATATAACACCTTCTTATAAGATAATTAAAAATATAATACTTGAATGGATTCTTAGTATGAGTTATATTATCAATGTTTTTATTCTTACCCCTTTCATAGCTAGCGTTTCTTAGTCTTATAAAATTATTATTCGCCATCTTATTATTCGTAGTACTTATATCTTCATTGTATGCATAAAGTAAATACTTTTCCGCAGACAATCTTTATGTAGCTGGGGTGCCGTGAAACTATTTCAAATCTCGTAAGAGTGCCACAACCAGAAAAAGTTTGGGTGCCACTGGCTCAAAACATCTTTCTAATTTTAGAACTACCCTGATACTTTTTAAATGGCAAAATATAAGTCCTTCAATAGGAAAAAAATATTTTTTTTTCGTGACATTTCATTTTCTTTCTGATTTTGTTATTAAATTATCAACTGGAAAAAAATTATTAGCATAATTTACAGGGACATCTTGAACTAAGAAAACTTTAATTTAATACTGCATAAAAACCCGCTCTATAAAAGTTACGCAAAGTTTACCCTATTTTTACTATGCTATCTTTATTTTAGTTTGGATCTGTAGCACATAAAGCTTGTGTCTGAGAAACTTCTTACGTTAATTTTTTAAAACACACTTTTAAAAAGAAGCTCTCTTTTTGCATAATGTTCGAAGAATTCTGATTTCTTCTTTATTGCTTTTATTATCAATATTATTTTTCATGCAGTTCAAAAATTTATCTAATGATATATTTTGTCATAAAATGCTGTATCATTTGATTCGGTTAAATTTTTTTTGTTCAATGGAATAATTAATTTTTTTAGCTTTAACTCCATAAGTTCGCTTCCAGCGGATTTCTTCCAAGGAATGAATGCCTTAAAAGAAGTTAGACTTAATGACAATCTCTTAGAGACTTTACCATCATCTACATGGTCTAAAATACCATTGTCTGTAGAAAGAGTCGACCTTGGAGGTAAGAATAAAAAATCCTTAACTTAATTTTTCGAAAAAAATTAAAATTCAACATGCTTGTCATAAACTGGATGCATTTTGTATAGATTTTGATAGTCGCCTAGTTGGTATGGTGGGCAGAGTCTTCAAAAACCACAGACCTGGTCAGAGTAAGATTCCCCATGCTAAAGACTGAATGCTTAATGGGATTGCACTTTCTAAGATTATGTCTTGTGATGTAATGTCTGTAATTCTAAAATTGGAAAGTCTAAAATTGACTGTAATGTAATGTCCCAACGATTTCAGAGTATGCAACGTTCATTACGGTTAGTCGGCTGGGGAGCATGATGCGGAGGCCGGGTTGTTACTGCTATCATTTGTTCTGCGTTCGAAATTGTGATAGAGATGTGTGCGCACGCCCCAGTATTGTCTTCACATTATTAAGAATGAATCAAATACTGTCGCCAAGAGTAGATTCAGTGCTAACCAACTCAAAACCAAAGTATATATTTAAAATCTTAGTCAAAAATAGGCTTAAGGTTTTTTTTTTTTTTTTACTATTAAAAAGTTTATGTCTCTGAAGAAAAATTACATTATTTAAAATAGTAAAATAGCAAAGTTGAAAGAAATTTTCCGTTTTAAACAACTTATCTTTCAGTATTGAGATTAATTTTCATGCAATAAATTGATAAAAAGTACTTCACTGTTGTTTTTTTATTGTACATTGTCAATAAAAATCATAAATCGCATATTAGGACCAACTGGAAAATTTTTATCTTTGTTTCCATTGCATAGAACGCTGTTTTGATTATAATTAAATCCATTAGAGAATGAAATTTAATTTATGCAATTTTAAACAATTATTTATTTTTATTTTTTTCTGTTTCAGGAAACTTTTTGGTTTGCAACTGCTCTATGAGTTGGATAACTAGACAAAACCTCTATGTAAATATGGAATTCCTAGCGAGTTGTGTATATCCAAAAATAGTTGAATTTCAACAGTTAACTCCTTCGTTAATATCTTTTACAAATTGCAATGTAAGGGTGTGAAATAAAGCTATCAATGTCCTTTTACTGCCAATAAATATTAAAAGCTATTTTGCATAGTTGGTGCTGCAATATTATCTAAAGTTGAGTGAAAAGAAATTTATAAAAAATGATGTCTGATGAAATTGAAAAAATAATTACAAATGGTGATGAGATTGAGAAAAAAAATATCCTTTGGAATAATGAAACTGAAAACTTACAGCACGAATCACACAGAAAAAATGTATGGTCAAAACTACCAGAATATGGTTAAATATATTGTTTCTGACTCTATGGGAACACCAAAAAGTTTGGTAATTTCTACTAATTTCTACGCTTTGGTAATGATTTTGATAAAATTAACAATTATGGTTTTATAACGTATGAAAAATTAGGTAAACGTGGTAAAGTTTGGTAGTTTTATAATGATACCTTAGATCACTATAAATATTGGGAAAAATACTTAATGAATGCTTTAAATACCGTATATTTTGGTTTTTATTACCATTTTTTTTTACCAAAATTGTTATTACAATACAGCACGGCAATTTTACCCGAATTTTTTTCTCATTGCATCTAATAATACTAATGAATACGTCTCGGTAGTATAATATTTTTAATTCATTTTTTGAATAATTAGTTGAGTATTATAAATGGGATATATTTTTACAAATTAAAAAATAGCCCTATTTGATTAGTGTAAAATTTTGCAGCTTTTTCAACGAGTTTTAATGCAATAATTCTAAAATATCATTCTTGAAACATTTAATATTTTAAACTAAAGTTCGATCTTATTTTAAGAGTTGTCTAGTTCTAACCCCAACCACTAGTTTCCACATATGCAGATTACCGTAACTAGCAATTTACAGCTATAGAGCATTTCTCGAATAGTAGGGACTATAAGGATATAAACCTCTCAAAATTATTTATTATTTCACAATTCCGAACATCTTGATTGATTGTATATAGATGAAAACATATGAATGTACCTATAATTAATTCTGTCGTAAAAAAATATTTGAATTGAAAAAAAAGAACAAGACATCAACATTTTTGTTTTAACCTTAAATCAGAAGAATTTAATATTTAACATAAGATGTATTAGCTATTAACAAGGTATTGAGCAGTGATGGAGTCAACACGGAGCATTATTATCAACAACGAAGTAAAATTATCAAAAGCATTTAGTATTAAAACATTATAAATTTTGATATTAATCATTTTCTTATGCACAGCGATTTGAGTTAACTTTTTTTTAATATAAAAATAAGCTTGACTAGAAGAATAAGAAAATTAAATTACTTTAATGAATAAATTCTTAGATAGAAATAAATTCAATAATATTCAGATCGGAAATAATATAATCGATTTCTTTTCTTTCTCCATTTTTAAGCTGTTTATTTTTTACCCCATCCCTCACTTTGATGATTTTCGCTAAAATTTGCGGGATGGAATTGAATATTACTTGCCCTAGTNAAAATTTGGTAAACGTGGTAAAATTTGATAATTTTATCATGATACCTTAGACCACTATAATTATTGGAAAAAAATACGAAATGAATGCTTTAAATACCGTATATTTTGGTTTTTATTATGAATTTAAAAAAAAAAAAAAAATTATTTCTATACAGCACGGCAATTTTACCTGAATTTTTTTCTCCTTCCATCTAATAATACTTATGACCACGTCTCGGTAGTACAATATTTTTAATTCATTTTTTTATGTTTTGAATAATTAGTTGAGTATTATAAATAAGATATATTTTTACAAATTAAAAAAATAACCCTATTAAAAATAACCCTATTTCATAATTCTGAAACATCATTCTTGAAACATTTAACATAACTTAAGTTCAATCTTATTTTAAGAGTTGTCTAGTTCTAACCCCAACCACTAGTTTCCACATGTGCAGATTATCATAACTAGAGTTATAGAATTTTACAGCTATAGAACATTTCTCGAATAGTAGGGACTAAGGATATAAAACTCAAAATTATTTATTATTTCACAATTCCGAACATCTTGATTGATTGTATATAAATGAAAACATATGTACCTATAATTAATTCTGTCGTAAAAAAATATTTGAATTTAAAAAAAAAGAACAAGACATCAACATTTTTGTTTTAACCTTAAATCAGAAGAATTTAATATTTAACATAAGATGTATTAGCTATTAACAAGAAGGTATTGAGCAGTGATGGAGTCAACACGGAGCATTATTATCAACAATGAAGTAAAATTATCAAAAGCATTTAGTATTAAAACATTATAAATTTTGATATTAATCATTTTCTTATACACAGCGATTTGAGTTAACTTTTTTTAATATAAAAATAAGCTTGACTAGGGGAATAAGAAAATTAAATTACTTTAATGAATAAATTCTTAGATAGAAATAAATTCAATAATATTCAGATCGGAAATAATATAATCGATTTCTTTTCTTTCTCCATTTTTAAGCTGTTTATTTTTTACCCCATCCCTCACTTTGATGATTTTCGCTAAAATTTGCGGGATGGAATTGAATATTACTTGCCCTAGTTCCGCATGTTAAGGATAAAAAATAACATGGCTGACTGGAATTTCACAGTGTATCAGGGGATAGAGCTCTCCCCTTTCAATGAGGTGACCCAGGTTCGAATCCTAGCGTTGACTGGTCGATATGAATCCTACTCCCGGCTCACACCGACCACAGTGCTGACATAAAATATCCTCTGTGTTAAACGCATCTTGGGTTAGAACCCCTTTGCCGTCGTGGAGATTTCGTGTTTTTCCTTTCCATGTAACGCAAATGCTGGTCAGTTCCATTAAAAAGTCCTCCACGAAGGCTACTTTGTCTCAATACTTGATCCAAGAGTTCCCTTGTCTTCTGTATTTGGTTTAAAATTACAAGGCTAAGGAGTTGACTTTGATAGTCAAGCTCATAATTGGGTCGGCTGTTAAACGCAGGTTATAAAATAAAAATAAAATATCGGGCAATATAATTTTTGGGCCCAGGTGGTAACAATGTTAACTACAACTAATTTAAAAACATTTCAAATTTGATTCTATTTTTTATTCTGTGTAGTATGTATACGCACATTAAAAACGTTCTTAAAATTCCAACTAATTACAATTCGGTCACCTAATTATAAAAAATAAACACATATCTAAAAATATTAAGATATATAGTCTTAGTAGCCCGTTATACCTTCAATATTTCATTTTCAATATAAATTACAACAATTACCTTAATAAAATATCGAACAATAAAAAAAAAATTCTACAATTTATATCGATAAAAGATTTATACTGATTACAGTATATAAGCTACCCTTAAAAACAAGTTAACTAAGTTGAAGTTAATTCTCCAAATCCAGATTACATGAAGCTATAACAAAAAATGCAACGAATATGAGAAGTCACAAATCACAAACGACGTTATACTCATTAATTTCTCACAGAGTATTCTTTTATATGAGCCAAGCAGCAACAAGCAAGGAATTGGACACAGTTGAGCTACTTTTGTATCCTAGGCTACAATTATGCCTATTAGGAAGATTGATTTGAACCTGGTATATTCATTAAGCGTCTCGCCCTACAGATTATATGAATAGATCGTTCATTCTAGTAGTACTTCATCATCTCATAATTAGTCTAAACCTGTCACTGAATCTTGTAAAAAAAAATAGTAACACAATGTGAAAATGGATTAAAGGGCTGTAGGTCACTTGTATAAACATATGTAGTAATGAAATGTGCTAATGTGCCTCACTGAATATTTATCGAACCCTGTCTTTTTAATTAATGAGGGGTTTTTTTAGGAAAGATATCTTCTTTTATTTCGAATCGTTTAATAGACTTTTTTATTCCTTTAATTTTGTCTTTTAGTTTCCTTTTTTATTCAATTAATTTTTTATTTAGAAATAAGCCTGGAGTTACATATATTATCTTTGAAATTGAATTTTTGTTTTTAAATCTATAACTATTTTACAGTTTAATATACATAGCAGTTATCTACAATAATATGACAGACGAAATCTATTAAGAAAATAAATATTTTTGAAAAAGGCAGTGTGATGATATTATAGGCATTACATATTTCCTAGATTTGAAAATTTCCTTAATTTTATAAATTTAATTCTTTTATCATTCTTAATTCTGTTATAATTAAATAAAATCAATTATTTAATTTTTATATCATTTCATAAAAAGCTAATAAAAATACTTTAATTCTTTTCTTAATAATAAATGTAATGACTAACTTTTTAATTCAATAACACAAGTGTATAACTCATTAATTTAGTTGCGACTATATAAATGTTTTAAAAATCTATTTTTAACTTTATTTTTATGCCGCTTTATTTCTCTAACCACAAAAATGTTTCGATTACAGGGTTATATTAAATTCTCATGGGTTTTGTGATTAAGCTGTAACAAGATTTATAATTTTATATTAATAACGCAGGGTTGGCCTAGTTTTTGGCTATATTATCTATGAATAATTTATAACTTGGGTTCTCTTCCTATGCTCCTAAGCGTCCGTTAGTAACTATTCATTCAATGAAAATTTAAACTTCATGACGTAACACCTCTGCCCAATCGTTGTCAATTACAAAAATTGTCATATAAGAATTCGTCGCTTGAAAGGGAGATGTTGCTTATTATGTTGTTGATATAGTCATGTTTGTTCCTTTTAAAAATGCTCCCTAAATAAAGCAAGTTTGTTATATCTCTGAAATAATCCTTCTTAAACTACAATTTCAAATGTACTAGGAATCACCACTACAACAATCTTGTCTCCATAGGTAGTCTGGCTCAAACATTTTTGGCTGATTTTTAGGTTAAGTAAACCAAAATTTTTTTAAAACAATTTTTCTTCATATCTTTTAATTAAAAAGATACGTTAAAACATTTAATAAGACAAAATATTTAATTTATTCAAATAATTTAATTATTAATTTCTTTATTGGAGGGTGAAGATGAATTTAATTTTAAGACAGTAAGCTATTAGTTTTTACTTTTTTTTTGCTTTCCACAATTCTTATAATATCAGCAAATTATTTTATTTTTAATAGACTGGCCCTTTTTTGAAAAAGCAGTTTTCTTTCATCTGATAATTATAATAAAAATTAAACTTTTTAAAACTGACCAACCTAAGGCTTATTATGCATAATTGTAAACTTGGTAAAAAATATTAAATTTATTGTTCAACACTTTTCCTTAGTGATTCATTACGTCTATGGGTCGTTACTCATTGCTGTTTTCCAAATTTCTAGTCATAGTTTGAAAAAAAAATATTAAATAATCTCAATAAATGTCATTTATGATATAGAATATTTTTGAAATGCTGAACTTGAAACAAAAACTGTATAATAAAATTTAATGTACTCTTATTTACAAATGAAATGTTTGGTACTCATAGTAATCGGTCGCGTCTGTAGACAGAAGAAAAAGTACCAATAAAATCTTCCATATGACATCAATACATTGTTACAACGCATGAACTTCGTCTCAGGGAGACATTTTGTTTAGAACTACAAAGAAGAGTATATACTTTGTGCTAAGTTTACTAAGTTTATTTTTAAGCTTTTAACAACTTCGTGTATTCCACACATCACGGCCATGGAATTTACAGAATTTATATGATATTAAAGGAATCACTAATCTANTACAGATTCCTTGAAAATAATAATTTCAAGTAAAAAGTAATAAAATTTTACGGTGGTATAGGAATATTTTTTAACTTAATGATCAAATTTTACGATGCAATCTTACTGGTTGTTCGTAAATAAATATGCTTATTAATTTGCAAAGGTGCTATAAACAAATTCAGGCACAAAAAACGACCGTTTTTTGGACAAATTCATATTTTTAATTCGCAAATTATGGTGGTAGCGAGAAAATATATTTTAGTCGGAAGAGGGGTCGAAAGTTTGGGTCCCTTGAAATTAATATTACCTTTTCTCCAATATCGGGATTTTGGCGAGTAGGAAAAAAAATCTCTAAATTATACTATAAGTTTTGTTTGCATTCATCTATATATATATATATATATTCTTTCCGAATAAAATTTATCATCAATCGACTAATTTCTGACTTAATAAAGTACTCAAATTTCATCTGGAACTCATTGAATGATGAAAAAAAAGGGTTACTAATGTTTCCTAAATGTTGCGAGCAAAATCTATATTTTATCGATAATCGAAATTTTGACCACTTTCCTACAGAAACAAACTAGCTAACACAAAATTAAAAAGGAAATAATTACGTTATAATAATTTACAATGTAATTAATTATTTTGATTAATTACATTATTAATTATTTCGATAAAATTTCAACAATAATTTTCTAAGCTAATTCCAAAAACTACGCATAATTACAAAATATTTTTTACTGTCACGTTTTCTAAATAAATAGTAAATTATTTGAGTAGTAAGTTTTATTTTTTTCTTCGGTAAAACGCTATCTTTCATATCTATGGAAATGTGGTGGTCATGTCTGTAGACATCATTTATTTTGTGTTTAAATAATAAACTAAATTGTGTTTGCAATCTAAACCTCTGTTACAGTGCGATTATTTATGCTCATATCTCATTTAAAAATAAACTTAATTCAATGTTTTAAAGAATACGAGTGAAATTCCAGTTTTTTGGAGAATGACCCAGAGACAATCAATAAAAAATGTAACAACTGAAATTAAAACATAATTTGAATTGATGTAACAAACTGCAAATTTGTAGCAAAGAAAGAATATCAATTTCTTTTTTATTCTATATATTTATAGTTGTCTCGTCAAGACATATGAATCTAGTTAGATTTTTTTTCGTCCTCATTGCATGACCATCTGCTAAGCATCCGTCTCAGTCATATTAGCTCAAGGTTAAAACTCCAGTAAAATTAATGGCCTTAAAAAGGAGGGATTTCTTTTTCATAAAAGCACACAATGTTCAATAATGAGCTTGGTTTTTTAAATTAAATAAAAATTCTGTTCGAAAATTGGTTTCTAAGACACATCAGGGCTAAAGAGGGCTAGTTCATTCCACTCTTAGAGCTGAAGCTACGATTTCTCTCCTTATGACGTCACTGTATACACAGATCTCGGAGATCGCAAGCAAAGATATGTTGACTTTGCATCTTTCTCTCTGTAAAAATAAGTTAGACTTTTTCTGGTTATTAGATTTCAAACTTTACATAATTAACACATTATTTCCGTTCATAAACATAGTTCAAAAAAAACTTTCTTGGCCATTGTGTTAAAAAAATACCATTTTAAACTTATAAAAATATTTTACTAGTTGGCGAAAATGACACTATAAATACTATATTTTAAAAAGTTCAGTTTTGACTTTAATTATTAAGAAAAGCATTTATCGACACTTTTTTATCTGCATAATCTTTGATAACTATAAGTTGGGTTAAATTTAGAATCCTGATTTTAAAATATGCCATTTATAGCAATTAGTTCATACTTAATTATTAGGAAACATCAAACTTAAACGCTAATTACTGAAACAAAATAATAATTTAGGTTCATAATGATATTTGAAATTTTACAATTGTTTATAGATACTTAAATTTAAGATAATATAATTTACAGATATTTAATTTTAAGAGAATATAATTTTTAAAAAATCAAATATTTAGAATAACTACATTAAAAAATATGTTATGAAATTAGGAGAATTTTAATTGTATACAATATATTTTATTTATACTTTTTATTTACGCTTTAATTTTCCTTGACTTCATCCATTTTCAATTTTTTCGCCTGCCTTTCTTTTTTAAGTAACGAGGCGGTTTCTATTTAGATGGTGATTTTTATGAAAGTTCTTAACGATAGAATAAACGTATTGCTGTTTTATATTAACTGTGTCATTTCGTTCGCAATTCGTTGAATCCATTCTTTACATAGTTGTTCATTTACTTTAGGGAACACGTGGAAAATTATATTTTTTCCTTCTGTGTTTCTATCAGAATTTTTGCAAGTTCCAATCGCGCAAACTGGCATTTCATTAATAGTTTTAAATTTTTGTAAACTCACTGCAATAAACTGAGGAAAAACATTTTATAAAACAACAAATGTCTTAGAATATGTCACAAAAAGGAATGCTCCAATATTAGTTAGAGCTAGTTAGACCGAACGCTCCGTTCTTGAAGTAAAAGTGCAAGCTTCGTGCCTCAGTGACGTCACTGGAGAAAATCGGAGGTTTGGCGTGGCGAGAATTTCTTCAAAGGAGTGAACCAGCCCTTCTATTCTCTTTAGCCCTGAAGACACGTACACATTAAACACATTGTGATCAAAATCTCCTTCACTCATACGGAAACTATTTTATTAAGGTCCTTTTCTAAATGATGTCACATTTTTTAAATATATTTTACCCTCTTCCCTTTGCCACAAAGTGTCACACTTCGCCTCTACCCTCCTTATTGTCACACGTCGCGATATATTACATAAACATATACTATCTGTTCAGAAACAAAACACATGCTGTGGATGATATTTTATTTTTAAACTTTAACTTAGTGTTCTAATGATCTTTATGAACATAAAAATAGTGGTTCGACTTGTGCTCATTTTGAAGAAAAATGTGGAAACTCTCTATATATATATATAAATCTATTATAAAAAATGATTAATCTGCTGATTTTGAATGCTTTAATTCTAAACAAAATGTGTGATGTTGTAGTCTTTGGTATCCCCTCCCACCCCTTGTCACTAATTGTCACAATTTTTATAACTTGTGTCTCTCTGAAAGCATGACATTTATGAACTTTCCCTTAGTAAACATAACTTAAATTAAAAATTGAAATTTCTACACAGAGTAATCCTCAATTACTGCTCTTAACATGTTTTAGAATCCTGTGAAAAAATTAATTTAAGAAATACTGGGGTAGGAAATTAATATTAAAGCAATACAAATCGCACTCAAAATCAAACAAATCACTATTGAATAAGGTGGGTGTCAAAACCTCTGTCCATGAACGTTCATTTAACTTTTTCCTTGCGCAATCACACAGGTTTTGACGTTTTTAATTTCGCTTTACTTAACAATGATTCATTGAATTTCGATGGAATTTCGGTGTCTCCCAAAGTCTTACTTTTCGACAATGTAACTTATGTAATTTTTGGCAATGATTCTAAAAATATATATTCTGGCCGGTGTTTGCAAAACATTACTAAAAAGGGAAAATACAATTTTGAACTGTAAAAGTTCTTTAACTCGTATATAACTAGATAGGCAGCTATTGTTTTGCTTCTGAATATTTCGAAACAAAATCGATTAGATTTTAACCTTTAAGTTTAATTTTTGACAAAAGAAATTTTAAAAAAAAATACTCTTAGCTCTTAAAAGAACTTCTTAATTGGTCTTAGTTAGATTAAAGTTAAAATGGTTGTTATTTTTTTCTCTATGCTTAAGTAAATAATTATAATATTCTAAGCATAATGCTTCAAACTCACTCTATGTTTTATGATATATATTTAAAAAAATTACATACGAAAAATACGTTTAATTTTTTTTTTTAATGTTAGATTTTCAAAAAATTTTGGAACAAAATGTGCATACATGCATAAAAAATATATAAAACTATTCTTTTTTAAAAATCATTCAAAGTTTCAAAAATTCTGCGTCATAATGAAAACAATAAATCATAAATAACTAAAAAAGTTCAAAATATAAAAAAAAAACTTACTTATTTTGTTTGGGCAGTCAATCCTTTATTGTAAATCCTTTTTATATAAGATCTAAGATACTTCTTAGTTGATTTATTGACTCCAAGTTTCCTGCTCCGTGAATTACTTGAACCAAAAATGAAGAAATTCTAGAGAAAAAAAAATTTCTAAGTCGACAAACACAAACAGTCAATAAAACCAATGATTCGATTCTGAAAACAAAACTTGATTTACTCTAAACTTTCGTATTTTTTTTTCTATAAAATTGTTATCTGCCTAACAGTTTATTAACTATTTGGTTGGATTCTTTCCTATTTTATCCTGTATACTTGAATAAAAGTTTCACCTATATTACATAATTTTTAAATTTTACTTCATCTTTATTGCTGCTTAAGTTCAAAATGGAAATATCTCAAAATTTCTAAAAATTCAGGAAGGTTAATTTCTTAAGATATAGTCTTCACCATTTATATTCACACTTTTACTCAAAAAGTTTAATTAATGCAAAAACATTTAAAAGAAAATGTATTTTTACCTTCAGAATAGTTTTTCTATAACTTTTCCATGAACCTGTAAGTAGATTTTTTTTCCAACTTAACGAATATGAGAGAACGACATAATTTATAGTTCAGTTTAAATTCTTCTGAAGCATTTGTGTGTGAATTTTTGATTTATTTAAGTACCTTACTCGACTGAAACAAAAATCAACATTTTGACATAAAAATTTACCATTTGTAAAAATTTTCAACTAATTGGAAAATTAATATATTTTTCGATTTTTACGAAAAGCTTCCAGTTGATGGTTAAAATGCATATTTTGTCCTTTCAAAAATGAATTCGGAAAAAAAGGTAATGCATTCTTATTAATTAAAATATGTTTTAAACAAATAGTACGGCATTCTCATATGAGAATGCCGTAATATTTGTATAACAGATAGGTGAGCACATACACTACCTTACAATAATGGAAGAGACACTTTCAGCTTTCAGTTTAATTTCTCAAGAAAGACTAAGAGGATTATTATTGTTATTTTAGGGGTGTTTAGTTCATGCGATTTTTCATACTTAGCTATAAAGTTTAAAGCTTTCAGAGGTTTGAGGGACCGACAATAAATGACGAAAGAAAAATATTTCCGACCACCCTATGCCAAAAAATTAAACAAACTTGTAACTTATACCGATTACTTTAGTTGTAATTTACAATAACTGCATAAAATTTTGTAAACTTAGCTTAAATATATATGGAAATTAATTTTTCTGTCTTACTTTTTGTGCTATAACTTTGAAAGTATTCGATAAAATTATAAAAAAAATTTCGAGCAATTTGAAATTATTAATTAAAAAAATTAATGTTTTAAAATGTGAAAACAATTCGTAAAAAACCTGCACAAGATATGAGTAAAAGAGTGCACATGCGCGGAAAAAAATTAAATTTTTTAATAATTTTGAATTGTATTTGACAACTAATGAAAAAAGTCTGATTTGAATATTTTAGCAATTTAAAAAGTTTCATGCAATTTTCTAAGCAGTTTTTGTACTTAAAGAAAGCTCCAAATAAGGGGTTTTCCACAAAGTTAATTTTAGGTTATGATAGGGTAGTGTCATTTGCAATAATACAAATGGAAATTTGCGGAAAACCCCTGATTATTTTGAGCATTTTCAGAAAAAGTACTAAGAAAAGTGCTTGAAACTTTTAAAAATTTAAGATAATCAAATCAAACTATCATTAATTGCCAAATACGAGTCACTAAAAATTATCACAAAATTTTTTAAATTTCTTTTTTGTGCATGCGCATTATAAAAGAACTACTTTAAATACAATACGTAAGTACGAAATTTGTTAAATTTAGGTTAAATATATAAAGAGAACATTTTTTCTTGGATACGCTTTCTGAGCTGTGCATATTTTCTTTGAATTTTGTTCAGAATAAAAATTTCTATCTAACACGCTTTTTGTTTCTCTTGTAAGTGAATCTCTACTCGACTAAAGGAAGACCAAATGTAATACTGAAAATTTTGCAAACCTTATTGACAAACAGTCATTAATATTGTAAAAGAAGCAAAGTTTAAGTATAATATTGCAAAATTAAAGAAGTTAAAGTTTTTTAATAGAAAGCATATAACAATTATAGACCTAGAAAGAGTGAATTTTATCGTAATACTGTACACAGGGTACCCACTCAAGTGCGTATCCACCCTTTTAACAATCGTTAAAGTGGTTTCTAGGTATAGTAATCTGGCTAAGTTCTCTAAAACGAGACCACCTAAGGCACTATCTAGTGTAAAACAGCTGAGTTAACGTTGTCATTTCGAAAGTGGCTTGTGATATGGAACATAAGTGAATTACAAAATTGTAAAGCATTATCGAATAAACGCTTTGTTAATCCGCATTCTTAGGTTTCGAACAATCGAAGTTCCAGTTAGAAAAAGAGGTGTATAGGTATGGTAAACTGGGTGCATGCTATAAAATGAAAACGCTCACACCTCCATCTAATTGAAAACTAAAGAAGCGTTTTTATCTTGGAAGGGATTAGAGTTAAAGTTATAGAGCTTTATTGAACTAGTATGAATGGACATCTTGTACACATTAATGCCACGAAAATGACGCTTAAAATACACATTTGCTTGTTCGTGATTTCTTTAATTGTGACGAGTCGAAACAATCTTAGGAAGGGAAAAAAACTAATTTTTTCAAGATACTTGATTAACAGTGGAAAAAAACCACCCTGAATAACTTTTGATCTAACTGTCAGATTTTCACGTACTCAGATTCAATCTTGATGGTTCAGGGAGTGACCTCACATTAATTAGAGCAGGCGATATTTCAAGTTAAGAAATCAAACAAAACGCACTTTCTCTCAATAAACATTCATTTTTTTCTCTGCAGATTCGGATTCCTTACCCTCAAAATATGGGGGATAGCCGCTGACTAGGAAATATGGTCCCAATCCTTCGGTCAGGTTAGAGGTCCTTTTTGCATATTTCGCCTTATCTCGAAAATTTTTTAAGAGAATTGAAAAAATTTTGCCCTCAATTACAAAATTAGTTTATCCAAAAATAATTCCACACAAAAAAAAATTCTAATAAAATATTCAATAAATCAAAACAAAAAAATCCATTATAATAGATGGACAAGAATAAATTAATTCCGCTCATCCTCTATGATACATTTTAGAAAAGAATTTGATAAAAAAATTTTAGTAGCTTGTAAATGTTGCTATCCGTGAAGTAGCAGACAAATTGTTTACTTCTTTTATAAACTTCCGTTCCTTTTTACAAAATCAGTTAGCTATCGAAAATGATATAAAAGCTTTGATCGTTTAACCCTTAACTTAAAGGTCAGACCAATAGCAATAGTTCGGTTTTGACTTACACATTATAAGTACACAACGATGCTTCTTCGACTATCACTGAAATATACAAGATCTGACTCATCAAAATTTCACTGAATTTTTTAAAGACTACTACCAAGATAATATTTCTACTTTTGGTTGGAGTAAAAATTCGATAGCAAAGTTAATTGGTTTTATAACTATAAAATAAAGGCAGATTGAAAATTGCTTATCCGTGTCTAATTTTTTATTTTGTTTTATTAAAAATTCCTCAAAATATTCGTTAAAATCACTTAAATTTCAACTTTTTCTCACCTTTTGGATACGCCCCTTTTTTACATATATATTTTAAATTTTTTACCTAAAATTTCATAGAGCAAACAATTACCGAGACATCGCGCATTTCGTAAAAATTGAGTAAAAATAAAAACTTCCATTATCGACTTCGTTTCTAAGGTATTTTTACTGAAATATAAATATCGCGTGGTAGCTAATTAAGTTTTTATTGATTTAAATATTAACTCTATTACCTCATTATACCATTAAGTAAAAGCACAATAGCTTTAATATTTTAATCAATAGATTAATATTTGTAACAGCAGTGAAGAGAAAATAGCGTATAACGAATATCATTTTAATAAAACTTCAACAAAACGCAAGACTAAAAGTTTATTTAGTTGATATTTTGATTCTTTAAACTCATATATATTGCTATTGTGCATTGTAAGGTTAACTATTACTAAAGGTAAACTATTATTATTTTTAGAATGAGAAAAATTTGAAATTAAAGAAAGTAATTTTACTTTTGAATAAATCCAACTATGAAGTCCTCAATAACATAAGTATACATATAAAGGGTTTCCCAAAATTTACTTAAGATTTGAATTTAACAGAAAACAGTTTTCAATTACAGCTTTGATTAAAAATATTAGACTACTTGAAAATTTCGACATTAATAAGTCTTAACTTATTTGGTTTTAACTTACTTCAGTTAAATTACAAATGTAACAATCCAAATCTGCATGTTTCAAAGTATTGTTGAACATTAAAAAAAATCAAAATAAGCGTAAATTAACTACAAAACAGGTTTCTGAAAAAAAATTTAAATATTGGAGTAAAATTATATGATCTGAAACATTAAAATATTTCATTATAAACACTAAAATTCAATTTTCAATGGAAGAAAAAGTTACCTAATATTTTGTAGCATATCCTTTAGCTTTGCATATAAACGATTTAACGGAATAAACAAGTTTTTTTCAGCCATTTTTGCCCACATCAACCTATTTTTTTTTTTTTTGTCAAACTTTTAGCTATAATTTCATTTTCCTGTCATCTCTGTCCGAAGTTACCAGTTTCAAGCTACCATTGCAGCTATTATTACTAAACTATCTATTCTACTAATACTGTTGTAATATTCTGTAAACACTTGATTGAGAACAATTTAAACAGATGGCTATATATTGTAGATTTTTACCTTGTCGATGCAAGTCATTAACTAGTAGCTTTATTGATTCTGAAATATCACGTAAACGTTCCATTTTGAAACAAATTCCAAGCACAAAAGACAGAAAATAAGTCTTAAAAATAATCGCCTGCAATAAATTTAAAATTCTTATAAGCTACTCGTAAAATTATTTGAAACAATTATTGTAACATATTCTAACAATTTGAACCAATTAAATATTCTAATATTTTAAGATTTAACAATAATTTTTTCTTTCGATAAAAAAAAAGTTAGAATTTTAAGCTAGTATCGTTGTTTGATTGGAAATAAATTCCTCGCAAAAATATCGTTTGCATATATGCATAACATATTTAAAAATAAAATGTTTTATCTTCATCGGATGAGAAAGATGAATTATTCTAATATTTTGAATCAGAGTAGTAAATATTTTTTAATTGAAACAAAGTATCTAGGGTTATGTATAGAATAGCAGATTGGATAAATGACCACAGGTTTCCATGGCCATTTTGCATACTTAAGGCAAAATTTCGTTGATGCAGCATTGAATCCCCTTCTTCAATGAACGGGTGGATATGGGCATAGACCTTTGACTTTAGTCCCATAGAAAGAAAGCCAATGGTGTTATTAAATCACACAATTTAGGGGGCTAATTTTGATCACTGAAACAATAGAGCAAACTACCAGGAAATGTCTCATACAATAATAGGATTGTTTCATGGACCTTTGACAAGAAAAAAAAAGAGTTGTTCGTAATTGTAGTGCTGCATTTTTTCGAACCCTAAACTGTCAGCTGTCTGTTTTCCTTTTCAGTTGCCAACGCTAAATTTAATTCAAATCTTGCATAAATTTTGGGACACGCAGTATAGCTTGATTTTTTTCAAAATAAAAATGAAACTTTCATATCCTATTGGGCTCATTCTGAATTTTTTTGAGGAAAATTAGTTTATTTATAGGAGATTATTTTTATCACGGACAAATTTTTACCTATGTTCATTATTTTTCGCTAGTTCAACATCAACCGTTTAAATTTTATACTTGTAGATATTGTAAATTTATATTGTAGATATAATTAAATAGATTAAATTTTATATTGTAGATATTTATACTTGTAATTTGATACACACATGTTCATTAATATTGCAAGTGCCATAGAAATATAACATTTTATTTTACTCACAAAATTAGAGCACTTTTTTTTGATACACACATGTTTTAATAAGCACTTTAAAGGTGTACATATCATTAACAAATAAGACGTAGTACATCTTTAAAGCGTACATTAAAAGTCGTGTACATATTATTAACCATATCATTAACGTATCCTAACATATTAACCAATAGTGTGCATATTATTAACTTATTGTGTACTACATTTTATTAACCTTACATACTATTAACCAAGCTCACAAATGAAGCTTAAATTGCAACCGAAACGATGCATTAAATTTTTATTAAAAAAAATTTTTGCATTTGTAAATTTAAAAAAAGTGTATCACTTACTTTTTATGATTCATTACATTCATTAGATTCTTTTCATGTCTTTTTCTTAAAAAAAAAGCAAGTTTAAAAGTGAAGTATTGAAGTAAAAGCTAAAAATATACTTAACTGCACAAATCGATAGTAAATAGTTCGATAAAAAAAATCTGCCAGAATCCATTAGTCACGTAGATTTTTATTTTTCATAATATAAAAAAAAAGCTTGATGGTTTTTGATGATACAGAATTATATGTAATTTTATATGTATGAAAATCAAACGTAATATTAACCGTTAAAATATTAAATGTTTATCTGAGGTTTAAAAATAAATTATCTAATTAATGGATTCACAAACACTGTCTCATTCATTTATGATATTTTAGAAATCTTATGTCTTTCAAATCTCTCAATGTGAAATAATGTTCAAAAACTGAAAGACTGAAATTTGTCATTGGATAAAAATGGAAGGATGTTTTATAACTTTAAATTAATATTTCCTCTTTAAAGACAAGAGGACGTCCTCCACATAAACTGGAGTTTTAATTTGTTTAGTTTCGAAGCTTTACAAGATATTAGATATTATTGCTTTAGATTACAATTTCAAACCAATATTTAATTTTCCATCATTTCCTTAGAAAATTTTATTCTTACAATTATTATTACTCGTGTTCAGATAACGGCAATTATTTCTAATGTAACTAATTATATCAGTTAAATTATAACAGGATTGCAAAAAAAATGAGTTAGATACATATTTTATCAAATAATTTATATAAAAGATATCACAAACCATAAAATTTCAAACTTAATTCAAAATATTTCTTTTTTTGAAGACTTTCTTTGAAAAAAAGTTTAAAAAAACATTTTTACATCAAACTGTGATTTAATATTGTTTCCGGATAGATGTTCAATAAAATTCCGAAGTTTCCACTAGATAAATTAATAGACAGAAACATTTCACTGCCGGATTTTTACTGAAAAGCTATTGAAAATTATCTCTAAAATAGTTTCAAAATGTGGTTTATCATTATAATGCTCTAAGTCCTTTACTTTTTAAACAGACTTTTTTTTAACAGTCGGAGGGGTGCTTTTCAAGTCACTTTTGCATAACGTACTCTATCCATCATACTGGAATAAAGCAGACTAAATAATTCTTATTGAAGATCAATATATATTTTTGGGGAAAAAAAAACATTTTATAAAGTGATCCAAAATAATTTTTAACCATTATATGAAAATTAAAAAGCAGATTTTTTAGTGTTCGTTAAATGCACAGTCATGATGATTAACAGAAATGCAATGCACAACTCATAGTAAAAATTTTCAAGACTAAAAATAAAAATTCAATGTAAAAAAAAAAAATCTACCGCTTCAAGAAAATATGTTTGACACAAGAAACAGAGAGACTATCTAAAAAAAAAAAACCGAAGTGGCACTTTTGGGTCATATTTACTGGAAGATAAATGCTTTGCTTGACAATAAATTAAAATTAGATTTCTTGGGAACTATTTGACCGATTTTACTTAAATTTTGTATTTAGCTTTGTAAAATTATATTTATTGAAATATTATGAAAAATTGCATACCTTACAATTCAAAATTATTTGAATTTTTATCAACAAAAAATAAATAAATATTTAACCAATAATCAATATTAGCCAATTTTATAATAGTATGCAAAATTCTTTCAATTTGCTGAAAAAGTTCACGAGATATGGCCAAACACTCAAAAAGTAAAATTAATATTAAGGGGCCAAAAATTTGAAGTGCCTACTTGATAAAACTATTGAGACCATACTTCCCAGATATCTGCTACCCCCTATGTTTTGACTGTTAAAAATCCGAAGCTTTTAACTGCTTTTTNGGCCAAACACTCAAAAAGTAAAATTAATATTAAGGGGCCCAGAATTTGAAGTGCCTACTTGATAAAACTATTGAGACCATACTTCCCAGATATCTGCTACCCCCTATGTTTTGTCTGTCAAAAATCCGAAGCTTTTAACTGCTTTTTTATTTGAGAAAAATGTACAAATAATAATGCATAAATTAATATTTTCTTTCCAAGTGAAGTAAATTTTTTTATTGTTAATATTTACTAATAACTTGTTATACAACTGTAAATATAAAAAATATTAAAAACTAATTAAACAAATATCTTTACACATTAGGTATTCTTTCACAATGCAATCATTTTGACTGCTTTTGAGCAATATAGGTATATACTAAGTTTCCGTCTTGCTAGTGTTAAATAAACTAGTTCATCACTGTGTGCGAAAAGTTTTAGATTCACTTAAAATACTAAGGCATGGCAAAATACACAAAAATAAATTTGCATATCTTTTAATTTAAATATTTTTTGACCATTATTAAGTTAAATAAAAAAACAGGTGACAAAATTATTTTTCTGGTGAAATTATCTATAAATAAACTAGTTTCACCACTGTGTGCGAAAAGTTTCTGATTTACTTAAGATATTAAGATATACTGCGAAATAAACCAAAAATAAATAAAAATAGAATTTAATCATCAATCACTCTTCTGGTTCAAAATCCTATTTCATATTAAACTATATTTTGAATGTCATATATCCAAATCTGTCGAAAAATAGTTGTATTTATACAGAAAAAGAGTACGTTTTTAGATTATTCAAAAGTTATTCAGGGTCATATCCTTATATTTTATTTTATTAATTTATTTTATTTATTTTTTATTCATTTTATATTCGTTTATTCATTTCATTTTTGTCCTTTAATTAAATAAATTCATTTTTGATAAATTTATTTAATTTATTTCATATCGTAATTTATTTATTTATTTAATACATTGTACGCCACTAATTCTTGTGAACTCTGCTTTCTTATTTCTTCAAATGTACATTTGACAATTTTAATTATGTCCAATATTCATTATTCTAGAGAAAACAAAAATTTTTAAAAATTGTTCAATAAAAAAAAACTAGAAAAAAGTTGAACAAGTGTATCAAAACCAGTATATACCATTTTTCCTCCTTTCATAGGGGGGTGACATTTTTTCCCTGAATTGATATATATCTATATAGATCTAGATAAATATAAGTACTAATGATATAGGACAATTTCAGAAAAACCGACAAAAATGATTACACGAATCATTATTTTTAGAACATTGCCTCTCATATTACTCCAATTACTTCAATATTTCTTCATCCTTATTAGTTAAATATTCTAACAGAAATATGAGAAGTGGTAGTAATTCTTTGTATGATGGTTTACTATAATTGACAAGTGGGTTTTAGGTGGGTGGATAATTATTAATAATTAATTTTAATAATCTTTGAAATGAAACGAAACGCCTGGCGAAATTTTTATAGTCTGTCACATAACGACACATTTATCAAATTGGTTATAAAAACTGTTTTCTTTCCTTGGCGGAAAAAAAATAGCTCTTTCAAATCAAATCATCCCTAAAAAGAGATGAAAATACGCCCTCTAGTGGGAGAAAAAAACAGAGAGCAAGTGACAATTAGTTTTAAGCGGGAGTTCAGTTATGTCAAGTTAGAGATGTTGGAGCATGAGAATGCTCTGTAGATATGGGCTTATCATGGTTCCCTCAGCGACGTTGGTTGTTCCTTATTTATGCTATTGCTTCTTTTACAATTTTAATTTTTATAGCTGGGTTTGTACCTAATTATCCCTTAACATCGCTCATAAGGTGAGAATTATTTAATAATTTTTAGTATTTATATTTTTCAAAAAATCAAAAGTCTTTTTAAGTAATAAAAAACTTGGAAAAAAATGATGTTTTACAATATTTTTCAGAAAGTTTGACAGAATAATTTATGGTTATTTTTCTCTCATAAAAATGCATAATGAAGAGAAATATAAGAAAAAAAATGTTTAATGGAATTTTATTTAAAAAAAATTCTCATTACAAACAAATTGGAAACAAATTAAATTAAAATTTTTAAAAAGTGTTCTTTTTTTTCTGTAAACATTTTCCCACAATTTTCTTTAATTTCGTTTAATTGTTAGTTCCAAAATGTGCGACAAAGGATTGTCAAAAATAAACTATTTAAACATAGAAAACTGATAGAATATAAAACTAAAAAATGTATCTAGTTTATTTAAAAGGCTCTTCTACTTATTAAAATGATTTTAAAACTTTTTTTAACCCTCTACAACGTAAGATAGTTGCAATAATTTTGCACAGCCAAAAGATTATTAATACAAAATAAGAAAACTTAAAATGACTGTTTTTTCTTAATATTGATTCTAAGATTTCTTCTGAAATACATATCCAAAAGAACACAAATGTAATTCCATATCTTAATGATATCAGACAGATATTATATTATTCAAGATAGATTATTCGACATAAATTTTAAGATATAGAAACATCTACGTGGTTTTAAGTTCTTGCATGAAAAAAATTCGAAAAAAATATCTTCGCTTTGTTGGTGCAACCCTCATCGTTTTCCAGTTCTAGAAAAAATTTTAGAGCCAAAATTTTAACATTTTTAGCTTTTGATTTTATTTCATTATTTTTTTCCTTAACAAACAAAGTATGTTTAAGAAAAAGATCGAGATATATTTTCTAAATATTTAAGGAAAATGAAACCATATTTAAATATATATATTGCTTTATACCTTTTATTTTATTTCTATATTATTTTTTTATGTTTATTTTTTTATATTTATTTTTTACACTCTAACCTGCTTATGGTTACAAAAGTAAGTTTATTAATGCATTACAAAAAGCTGTAAAACTAAATAACAATCATTTTCATAATAATTACAACTAAAACGCTATCTCGTAACAGCTATTTTCATGCAAATTAAATAAATAAAAACTAGATACAGTACTTAAAGTCTCGATTTCAAACAACTAAGATCGTAAAATATATAGGACACAAGGTATTAAAATAGGCTAATAAAATAAAAACCAAACCACTAGAATTCTGAATATTTTTTTAAAAAAATTGAGGATATTAAATGTTTTTTTCAAAATTTTCATATGTATCTTATATATAAATTATACATCTTAAGTCTCCATGTAACATTTTTTTTATTATATCTATAATTGTTGATAGCTGAAAATAATGAGCTCTGCTATTTATTTTTGGGAAATAATTCTGCGAGGAAAGAAAATGCAAAAATCGCCGGTATCTCAGTTATTAGATCATTTCAATCAATTGTTCGCATCAAAAATTTGGAAATCTTAAAATCGATGCTTTAAAAAGCAATAAATTACAGCCTTACTTTAATGGTACACTAATTTAAATTTCTTATTCATTTCATAAACTTTTCAAGCAATAAAAACTTCCAGTCTTAATGTTAAAAAATTAAGGGTTGAGTATCAGATCCCAACAAACCAAATAATCATTCAGAAATATACAAACAATTTCAGTGTTTTATCATTAACCTCGATTTTAGATATAGTTAAAATGTAATTAAAAGTAATACAAAAATAAGCATCTCATCAACATTCTGATTCGTAAAAAGGTGTATATAAATGGAACATAACAATATTTCATACAATTTCGATCACTAAATTAAAAACAAAATGTTATTTTCAGCAGATGGAATTCGTTAAAAACGTATATGAATGAAACACGATGTTAAAAATTACATTACTGAAGATTAAATAAACGTATAATAACTATTCAAATTTATGAAAAGATTAATTTCTACGAATAGACCTAAAAATTCAAATTTTCAGTTAGTAGCTAGTGGCCGGTAGACTCGAATAACTTAGTAGACACTTTTTTCCTCAAACGTAATGAGTCTGTGATATCTATAAGTTATTTTCGTTTAATAGCCACTTTTTTCAAACTTCTTTTTTAGCTTGTATTGAATCATATTTTGAAAAAAATCATATTAGAAGTAATTTACGGGTATGAAAAGTTAATTCAACACTAAAAAATACATATATTTGTGACAAAATTTAGTTAAACATACTGAATTCAGTTAAACATACTAAAATGATTGAAAATATTTGGGAAAGCGAAAAACATCTAAAGTGTACATTACAACTTTGAAACATGAATTGTTATAGACCCCTCCTTAAACATTAATATTTCCATCACAAATTGATGGATTCTGAAGGATAAAAATTTTGAATGAGATATTTTAAAGAAATTCTGTTTTTCAGAGTCTTTCTGCATTGATGCACTTTTACCCTTTAACAATTTTTAAAATGAAAAAAATAATAAATTTAAAAAAGTAGCCGGTTGTTTATTTAATTGAAGTCCCCACTTTTTTTTGTTGATTTGCCACATGGAGAGTGGTTATTTTCAGGTTCATATATGAATAAAATATGTATTTATTGCATACATAAGTATATCGCTCATGGACTACAATAGAGGCACAGGTCAAAAAACAAGCGTTTTGGACTAAGAACAGATATAAATACGAAAATACACATTCTTTTCAGCAGCAAAACTAGCACAACTCAGAATTCAACTTGAAGGTAATCTTCGTTTAAGCAAACGAAAGCATTTCTTATGCATTTACCTTAGCAATGAAAACTTTAAACCCACTTGTCTCAAAACTTGATTTTTTGAGTTGTGCCGCTATTGCAGTCCATGAGCGATACATTGCGTATTCATGGCGATAAATACTTTTAAAATTATTCTAAAACAGTTCAATGATATCAATGATATATTTATTACTAATCACAAATAAATATTTAAATTCCAAGGGAAGAAAAACAAGAACGCTATCAAAATCTGACGACTCACTATTGAGGAAAGCTGAATGAAAAACGAATGATTTAATTGTGCGATGAAGCAGAGGAGTTTAAAAGACATTAGAACCACATTCAAATTTCAACCGTCAAACAGATTTTAATATTTTTACTTTAGTTTACTTTAAATGTGATTTTTCAGATTTCGATAGCATTTTTGTTTTTTGCTAGTGCAGTATTAATTTGCGACCCCCAAAGTTTTTACTTTATTAACTAGGATTCCAAAAATATACATTAAGGGCGGCAATTATGAGACAAACGTTATATGAATAAAATCTGCAGTATTTGACTGGGATTGAAACATCTAGCAATTATAGGGATAGATAAAGAAATTCAAATAAATCACACTTAAGTCTTTAAAATAATGATAACTTTAAAAGATAAAATTTTCCATTGTTAATTCTAATGGTCAAATTTTCTTTTATTCATATTTAAGTTTTAGTGACCTTATTTTTAATCTTGATAGCGTAAAATTTTAAACTTTCAATATTTCGTTCTAAATCTCACTACGACTTTTTATAAAATTAATTCCAGTGGCGCGCAAAGATGTCCCTAAAAAAGTAGTTGCAAAATTAAAAAACGAAAAAAGAATTAAGAAAGATCAAATTTAAATCTTAAAACATATTTTAAATCCATATTTTATGTAAATGTAAGCAATAATTGTTTAGTAAAAAACTCCTTATTTCGAAGAAATTAAAAATTTATTGAATTTCTTATTGCTAAATATTCTCAATTTTAATGATCTGGAACTTTAAAAATTTGTAATTTTTGTGTCTGATTTCATAACTTGAAATATCGCCAGCACTAATTAATTAGCATATTTAAAGTTTAGCACTCAAACCATTAAGTTTGAATCTTACTACGTGAAAATCCGATCTTTAGGGATTTTAAATTACTCAGGTGTTCGTATTTTTCAGCGCACTGCATATTCGTGAATTGGAAGAATCTTTCTAAAATTAGATCCTTCAAAATATTTAGTTATTTATTTTTTCAGGAAATTTTTAATATTATAAGTTTAAAAAAATTAATGCTTGCGTTTTCGGGAAAAAAAATCAAAAGTTGTCATTTTTATTTCGACTGGTCATTGGGTCGAGACTTAGTTTTTTCAGATACTAAGTCTTAAAAATGAATTAAAATCGAATTTTTAATAAATCTAGGAATTTGCTACGGAATACCTATCTATAAGAAATGTGCAAAATGTTTCAAGAACAATTTTAATGGGTTTGACAGACAAAACAAATTTATGTATATTTTTATTCTTATACTTATTCTGTTAATTCACCTTTAAATAGTGAAAAAATATCATTTCAAATATAACGTGAAGTAAGATTCGCTCTTTTAATTTAAATTGATATTGTTAAGTTAAATGTTTTTTTTCATGCAATCCAAACTAAAAACAATATATTTTAAAAACTGTAAATGGTAACAATTGGAATGAGTTTCCTAAAATATAGTATACAGTACTTTGACTACATGAATTTGAAAAATCTCAGGTCCTGAAATTTCCAGAAAAATAGTATAATAAAGGACCAATTTTAGTTTTTGCGAACTTTTAAAAAACTTTAAATCTTATTTTAAATACTGAAGGCAAATTTGAAAAAAAAAGGATATTTTTTGTCTTAATAAATTAAAAATTATCATAAGTAAAAACACTATTCTTATTGTGTTTTTAATTATATTACGAAATTATAAACATAAATTTTTAAAAAATGTCTTAAGGAAGATTTGTAAACGTTTTTTGTATACTTATTTAATTGTACAATAATACAAATTTCTTTAAAAAAATTATATGCCTTTAAGAAAATCAAACGTGTTCCATACTACCAAAATAAAATAATACGATATGAGAAGCAAACTATGCTATTTTTAAACAGACTTAGAACTTTACAATAAGCAACATACATTAAAAGAGCATTTCGAAACTAAACACAGGTACTTACTTTCAATCTTGCTGTTACTTAGTTCAGAAATTGTTAAATTTACTCCAGCAATGAAAGAAAAATAACTTTTTGTATTGGTAATAAATAAGTCATTTTTTTATTGTTTTTAAAAATAAACGAGGTTTATATATGTGAAGAGGAGAGAAAAATTCAACTTTCAAAATTGACTGTTGACTGTTGATGACGATGTGGGGGGGAGGGGATCTCTGCTACTCGCTTTTATCCCCCTTGATCAAAATTTAAACAAACGTTACTTAATGAAGCAGTACACATCTCATTACTTACACCTGAGATAAAAGTTTCAATTTGGAGTTTTTAATACGTTTCCGGCTTCCTCTTTCTGTTGAGCTCAAATTTCAATTAATACTCCTGGCCGAGCAGTCTTATCGTTCTTCTAAACGCTCTGTAGCAGGAAAATAGAGGGTTCGAATATCACAGTAAGCCTAGATGCACATTGCGATGTCCTTCTCAAACTTAGTTGTAGTTCATTTACGTCGCACTAGAGCTGTAAGATGGGCTATTGGCGACGGCCAGGTAAGCATCTCTGAGAATGATCCGGACACATGCCATCACAATTTTGATCCTCTGCAGAGGGAATGGCATCCCCACTTCGGTAGCTCGACGACCTGCACGCGAAATCGAGCACTTTATGGTAGAACAGTTTGAAGAGGACCAATACAGCACACCCTCGGTCACTACGCAGACTTATCCAAGCGGTCACCCACCCGCACACTGATCGCAGCCAGTGATGCTTGACTTCAGTGATCTGCTGGGATCCGTGTCTTAACGATCAGTCCACTGCGAGACTCTCAAACTTACACTATCAAGTTAGAGAAGTATTGAACAAGTCGCCGATAGCCCATTGTGCAACTCTAATGCAACGTAAATAAAATACCTACTTACTTACCTATAATTCAAAATAAAAAGGGCTTATAAGTCGTATTTGTAATAAGCGTATGAGTCTGCATGTGTATGTGAAATAATAATCAAATTTCATTAATTAAGGGTCTCTGTGAAGGGGAATATTTTACTTCCTCCAATAACCCTTAAACGTGAAAGTAGCTTGTTCAAATCCCTCCGTAACCCTGAATGTGTCTTTTTGTAATTTGTGATATCCGAGTTTCAATCTGAAAAGGGTTGATAAGCCGTTCTTCCTATTAAGCAACAATCCTTAAAATGTATGAGTAACGATAATTAATTAAGTTACTACAAAAATTGGAGAATAGAAAGTAGCCAACGATTATTCAGCTAGCTTTTAAATCAAAGGATTAAAAAGAAATTTTGCTGCCACCTGAAACAACAAATGAGCTACACTCTTAGCCCTACTTCAATTAAACTCTACTGTACTTTTATTTGAAAGCTTTAAGGGTAATTAAGCACATTCGAACATGAATCTAAGCTTTTACTACAAATCGAAGTCCAGAATCTTAATCTCTCTGTCATGCCGAACAGATTAATGATGTGAGAAGAGTTTTAATAACTATATCCTTATAACCTATAACATAGTCCTTATAGCCTATCTTTATTTGTGCAATTAAGCTATTCGATGTTATTTGCTTATGAGAGATGAGAACCGTCATGTGATTTCCTCTAGACCTTCTAAGCCGTTGCTCAGGAATTTAGCCTCTTTTTCGCTCCCTGCCGAGCTAGTAAAGATCGATGCAAAACATCACATTTGTGAGGGCATAACCAACTTTTCAACCGGATTGTTGCCAAAGGATACCAAAATCTAAGCTTTAACATGTTATTATTAATTTATTTTATTTAAAATTTCCACATTTCTATCAATTTGCCTTCGTGTATGTCTGTTCGGGTGGAATTTTGTAATCGATTTTAAACTAGCTTCCCGACTAGCTACAGACTTCAAATTTGGCACATAGTTCAGAATTGGATGACAATGCATGAAAATGAAGAGAAAGAAGACATACAAAGTAAAATAAAATTAAAATTAAAGAAAAGTTAATATTTTCGCTATTGTCTTTTGTTGTCGATTCGATTATTTCAAATTAGTGTCACATGTCAGTTGAAAGGCTTTGTACATAGTGAGAGAAAAAATTGAGATTTCGAAAGTGAGTACAAAAAAAATCAAACTAAAAAGTAATATTTTTAAAAATTGCGTAGTGGAGAATAATAATTAAAAAACAAAAATTTGAAAAACGAAAAACGTGGTGAGCATGAAATGCATAACAGTACATATACATATACACATTTTCTTACTCATACACATACACATCCACATATACATCCTCATACACATGCATATATACAAACATATTCCACATCCACATTCAGATACAATTACAGCTATACATACACATATTCTCATGAGCACACATACGCACACTAATATAACATTACTGTTATGTATTTCATGCGCCCCACGTTTTTCGTTTTTCAAATTTTTGTTTTTTAATTATTATTCTCCACTACAAAAACGCGGTTTTTAAAAATATTACTTTTTATTTTGTTTTTTTTTTATTTAAACCGTTAGTCATATAAATAATTCAAAGACGAGATCGGAACAATTAGTGATAAACAGAACTCTTTTTTTTTTACCATCAAACTGTTCTTAATATTGTTTTCAGGTAGCTACTTTACAAGTTTCCGAAATTCCCATAAGATAAAATCAGCCTACACTGAAGCATATTATTGTCTACATGGAAATCGTGCTATTTTTATCGCTCTCCCAACCAATTTGAAATTTTGGCTTATTATTATTTTGTCCTTAGCCTTTTTATAAATATTAAGACCTGATAATCATTTTGCGAAGTTTTTAAGTACAGATGAAATTATTCTCTTTCTTAAATGTTGTTTCAGAACCACTTTAAATGTAATTAAAAGTTCAAACACTGTAGTTGGCAGTTAAGGTATATTTGTCAATTATTCCGGATTCAGAAATATTTTTCTTAAGTATTTTTAAAAATTTTGCTTATAAGAAATATTTTAAAAAAATGCCTTGCATTAGCTTTCTAATTGTGTACTACCTATAATAATACACAGAGCAAAGGTTAAAAAGAAGGAACTGCAGACCACTCTTATAAAATAAATATGTATATATAAATTTTAATTTAATAAAACATGGCATTAAAATAAATATGTATTAATAAGCATGTAACAAGACTACAGTCACGCCAGGTGTTCACCTATGCAGGATTTGTAAAATTATCTACAGCTATAGCGGTTAGAGAAGAAAAAGAAAGTGTTCTTGAACAAACGATGAAAAGAAAGTGTTCATAGTATTAAAAAAAACTATGAGACAATTTATGACTATTTCTTTAATACTTTGCTTGTTAGTCTTACTCAGAAATATGAAACTTGCCGCACGTGTAGCGATTAAGTTTTTTTTCACATCCAATTATAAATTTAAAAGAAGCATAACTTTTTTAAGCTTGAAATAATAACTTGGCAAAAAAAATTTCGATTTCTTTCTCTTAAGTGGGTTAAACGTCAATAAAAGAAAAATAGCCCTTTCATTAAACAACGAATAAAACTGAGAGGAACTTTTAACAAAATTATTAATTATCACTTATTATCACTTATTATAATTAAAAGTTCAAACACTGTAGTTGGCAGTTGCGGTATATTTGTCAATTATTCCGGATTCAGAAATATTTTTCTTTTTATTCTAACAAAGTATTTTTAAAAATTTTGCTTATAAGAAATATTTTAAAAAAATGCCTTGCATTAGCTTTCTAATTGTGTACCTATAATAATACACAGAGCAAAGGTTAAAAAGAAGGAACTGCAGACCACTCTTATAAAATAAATATGTATATATAAATTTTAATTTAATAAAACATGGCATTAAAATAAATATGTATTAATAAGCATGTAACAAGACTACAGTCACGCCAGGTGTTCACCTATGCAGGATTTGTAAAATTATCTACAGCTATAGCGGTTAGAGAAGAAAAAGAAAGTGTTCTTGAACAAACGATGAAAAGAAAGTGTTCATAGTATTAAAAAAAACTATGAGACAATTTATGACTATTTCTTTAATACTTTGCTTGTTAGTCTTACTCAGAAATATGAAACTTGCCGCACGTGTAGCGATTAAGTTTTTTTTCACATCCAATTATAAATTTAAAAGAAGCATAACTTTTTTAAGCTTGAAATAATAACTTGGCAAAAAAAATTTCGATTTCTTTCTCTTAAGTGGGTTAAACGTCAATAAAAGAAAAATAGCCCTTTCATTAAACAACGAATAAAACTGAGAGGAACTTTTAACAAAATTATTAATTATCACTTATTATCTATGGAACAAATTAGTTTTTTTGTTTGTTTTAAAGAGTTACATTTTTCCTTTTTCGATTTTTATGTGATAGCTTATGTTTTACACTGTTATTGAAAACATTTTTTGAATAATGATTCATTTTTTATTCAAGTTCGATCAAATTTAAAGAATTTTTTTCTATGTGCCAGAAATATTGTTGCTTCAATTTTTATTAATTTTTAGAATCTGAAAAATATTACCAGAAACTTTTTCAGTGGTAATTTCTCACACTTTACTTTCAATTATTTTGTTTAAAGTTAGCATGAATTATTTGTTATCAGATTAAATAAAGTATGAGTGACTTAAATCTGCCAAGAAAATGCTGATTACTATGATATTGTAGCGATATAATTTCTCATTGAATTGTAACATAATTACTGAATCACAACTAAAAAAGAGCAGGAAAAAAAGCACTGAAAAACAAGCCCCTCATTAACTATAATTTCAATTTAACGCCCGATTCCATTAGGGTCGTTGATCTCGAATTTATTATTATTTAATAATTTTTCAAACGCAATTAGACATTTTAAAAAAAATAATTAATATAAAAAGTCTAATTTGAAGTTGAATGAAAGGAGCTTTTAATACTTTATATATTTTAATGCAATTATATAACACATAATAGTATTATTATAAATAATGTATTAATTAAATTAACAATAATCTTTTTTGATAAATTAAAAATATTAGCAAAAATAATGAAATACTAAAAAATAATTAGTAGAAAAAGTATTTTTGTATATTATTATTTTATCATAGTACAAAACAGGTAATTATTGAAATTTCGAATAATTTTAGAATTGCTTAAGAATCCTAAAAGCGAGAAAAAAAATTTAAGTTTAAGTATTTTAATTTAAGTTTGCTTAATCAAGGGAAAAATTCAAAAAAATATATTTCTTTTGTCCTTCAGAGAATGAAACTCAAAATTTTTTTAAGTTGAAATTTAAATTTATGAGTTTTAGTTATTTTCAAGAAATTTTATACAACAAAAATACGAAATTTTTTCAAATAAAATACTTGATGAAAA